CTATGGACATTGACCAGAAATGGTAGACGTATAAAATGCGTATAACTAAGTTTTACTAAGTTTTGACGGTAACTTATTAATATACAAAGAATTTATCTCTACACTCCATTGTTCAACTCCGCATCATAATAATGAGAGACCGTACTAGGTGTTCATAGGAGTCTAGGTCAACAAATAAATATTATTGGGCAGATGCATTACTCCAGGCCGTTTATTTTCTACCTTTATTTTTCTTCATAAAAATATAATAGGAAGTAAAAATTTGGGAAAAACGTAAGAGGTTAAAAGTACCTAAAAATATAACGCCCATAAAAAGATCCCAAAGCGTCTGTTTACCTTCTAAGTTAGGGGGGAAATCTAACAGTTGACAAAATTACCATTAACCAAGTTGACAAAATATGACGATATTGTTAGCCGATATATTTTGATCCGATATATCGATATAAAATATTCAATATCGAAATCAAAGGTGATATTTTTTTCAAATTCGAATCTGGTACAGAGTCCGCACATTCAAATATGGCTAAATGTAAAAGATGTTGACGTGAACGTCAACACGTTCACGTAATACAATTAAAATAAATTTTAAACGATAGAAAATAATCACTGATGAATTTTTACTATAGAAATCCACCATTTTGTTGTTGACTACAAAAATTACCAGAGTAGAGCTCCTGCCTTGACAATTATCAGAATGATCAATTCAAAGAGTTTAACCATCCTTTACGCCACTTCATAAGTATCACGCTAAATATTTGATTTGATATTTGATAATTTTATTGCTAATTTAACTAAATGATGTTAGCCGACGTTTAATAATAATTGAAAGTTTTTTCAAACAATGAATAATAAAAGAAAATATATAAAAATTGAGCTTAGAGTTTTAAAAAATTTTTCATGTGCAATTTTTTCTGTTTTGTAACTTTTTTTGATTTGAAGAAAAAGATCCGTAAATCGTTGTTTTTTAACTTCAGGGTTATACTGACGGTTTAATAGTATTAGTAATTAGTATTTTCATGCCATTGGCTTAAAGATTTTGTTACCATAGCATATACTCTTTATTAAAATAATTTTGCAAAAAAAAAACCGACTTCAAACAGGAAACTAATAAAACATTATCAACGCTATAACATTTGAGGATTGCCCTCAATTTCTCTGGAGTGCCATCATCAGATCGTGGTTTCCTTACCATGGTCCCACCCTTTGGATATCTCCTTTCCAACAAAAAAAGAATCATTAAAATCGGTTCATAAATGACGAAGTTATCCCCGAACACACATAAAAAAAATAAAAATATATACAGTCGAATTGGGAAACCTCCTTTTTTGAAGTCGGTTAAAAAGTATCATCATGCACACATTTAGTAACATTAAACATCAAACCAGAGTTGCATTAAAATATATCGAAATTGACACGAATTCGATATTCTAAAATAAATATCGAATATCGATATATCGGTAATAAAAATATCGACGATATATAATATCTTATCCTTAAAAAGAGCAATTCTTGTATATATATATATATATATATATATATAATCGGTATCTAGGAAACGGCTCCAGCGATTTTCATGAAATTTAGTATGTGCGTAGATTCAAATGTCCTTTAATCCCTGTTTTCAGGGAATAAAAATATCAAAATCAAAATCAAAAATCAAATGTATTTATTCAACATAGGAGCATTACACTCACTTATTGATAGTCAAAACACTACCACCGGTTCGGAAAAGAAAGCCACTGTACTGAGAAGAACCGGCGAAAGAAACTCAGCGGGCTTTTTTTTTTTAAATAAGCAGTTTGACATAAATTCGTTAAAATACAATATAAGAACTCCGATTGAAAGAGCCTGGAGCGATCAGTTCATTACCAGAGTGTGTTATCATTTAAATAATCATTAATATTATAGTAGCCTTTAACACACAAACGTTCTTTTACTATTTTTTTAAATTTAGCTATTGATGCATTTTTAACGTTTTCTGGAATTTTGTTGTAATAACGTATACATTGTCCCATGAAAGATTTACTTATTTTACGGAGTCTACTTGTGTTCGATAGCTCAAGTACGATTTCAGCAGATTGAGATCGGCTTCTCTTATACCATAGTGGCGCAATTTCCTGACAAAGGTATCATACTGTACACAATAAAAAGCTTTGGTTAAGTCACAGAATATACCTAAGGCATCCTGCGATTCTTCTTAGGCTTCAAAAATATTCATAACGAACTGAACACCCGCATCAGTTGTTGAGCGACCCCTATTAAACCCATATTGCTTGTTATGTAATAAATTATGAGAGCTAAAATGCTGTAACATTTGATTTAACATGATTTTTTCAAAAATTTTACTAAGAGTTGGCAGTACAGAGATAGGTCTAAAATTATTGGGGTCGGAAGTACTACCAGATTTAAACACCGGAATGATTTTACTATGTTTCATAAGGTCAGGAAATTCGCCACGATTGATACAAATATTAAAAATAGTTGCTAGGTAAGGTGATATTACATCAATAATAGAACTGATCACCTTAACCGAGATCCCCCATAGATCTGCAGTTATTTTAACATCTAAAGTTTTAAAAGTTTTAACAATATCTGTCTTGTTTACAGTTTATCATTCGAATACGACGGTAAATTTTGCCGCAAAAAAAATGTTATAATAGCTCGATCGGTAATCGGGCGGCTCCGATACAGAAGGCCGTGGTTCGTGCCACGATCATTTACACACTTATTTTTTTACTTTTTTTTTCGATTCCAGATCGTTCCTTTCTTTATTTTTAATTTTTTGTCGATTTGTTATTTTGTTATTTTTTTCCCTTTTTTTTAAAGTTCTTTCTTTTGTGAAAAACATACTTATTATTAGGTCGGAAAAATATTATGCATATTTCATTACTCAGTAATTTGTATCCAAATATAATTTCCAAAATACACGATTTACCAAAAAAAAAACCTCCTCCAGGTACTAGATATTAATTTGGAATTGATATGATTTAAAGATCTTACCAGAGTCTTTCTCGGTCTTACAGAGATCTTTAAATTGCAAAGCGCAGGCAGTTACGAAATAATATACTAACACACTTTTATAATGTAGAATTTATTACGCGGATGTTTTTAGAATTTTATCGAAATCAGTTTTTTCTATTTTGTTTTACTTCACGAACTGTCTGATTTATTTTTCATAAGTCAAGACACTTATTGTCACTATGTCTATGTTTACTTTTTTTGTTAATGAGTTTCTATATGTATTAACTCCAACAGGAATAATATCGATATTTTTATATATCGATACATTTTGCCCATGCCTATTTATCAGGGCTTTGTCAGTGTTTATCTGTTGTTTGTCTGTCAACATTTTTTCCATAGGGATGCCGAAAGTCGAAAAAAAAATCGATATATCGATATTTATAAAAATATCAAAATCACGAAAAAATCGATATATCGGTAAAATTCGCTTTTAAAAAAATAATGTATTTATTTCTGTTTGATTCAATAATAAGTAATAGTAATTTTTATACCAAATTCACATTATTTCAATGAATGAAAAAATTTTAATAAGACGTTTATTATTTATTAATTTTAATACATTTCTTTTTTTTAATGTAAATTTCTACGTATGTTATTTATCAACACCTTCATCGGAAAAAACAAACAGCTTATTTAGTAAAATGAATCAGCCCTGAATCAATTAAAAAATAACTAATAAAAAACATGTAACTTTAACAAAAAACATGAAGAATTGTTTAAAACGAAGTTAATAATTGGTCAAAGAGAAACCCGCAGAGACTTGTCCTTATATACATGCATAGATCAGCAGAATTTATTAATAGTTTTTTGATTGAAATGAAAATGCTGCACGACAATTTAAAAAAGTTACGTATGCGGTTAAATAATAATAATTTTTATGACGTCATTTTTTTTAAATGAAATCTCGATATTATGTTAAGTGACATTTAATTATTGAGAATTGAATATAATTAAATTTTGCTCACTTTATTTACATATTGTATTAAAGTAACTTTAGTTGATGCCATTTTTATTTTGCTATTTATAAATGAGATTAACATGAAATTCAACGTTAATGATTTGTACCTTAGATATAAATAGTATAAAAGTACGAAGCGAAGATGAAATTGTAGTATAAAGTCCATAATTATAATACAAAATGCAACACAGCATTTATATAGGGATGCCGAAAGTTGAAAAAAATATCGATATTTATAAAAATATCAATGACAGCCTTGATATATCAAAAAAAAATATCGATACTTTTTCGGCATCCCTACTTTTATATATCTGAAAGTAAATGAGTAGTGTTTGTGGGTGATCTTAATCATATTTTCTTTATCTGCCCTTTGAATGACGTTTTTTTCTTTTATAATCATCTCGTCTCCATCCGTGTACCATTTCCTACTTCTATCATATCTCTTCTTTCATGTTCTAATTCTGATATATATACAGCTTTATCTATTTTCCTGTTAAATAATCATTTGAAATTATAAATCCTTATACCTATCCTAGCATAGTGATCCTATCTGATCCTTTTCCAATTCCGTGAATCATGTCCTTTTAAACCGTGATAAGCGTTTCCCTGCTTTTGTCAGTGGCATATGCGCAAACCGCGTGATGCCAAATTAAAAAAAAAAGCGCTTAGTGACTGTCAAACTGTTTGATAGGTGATCATGTAGGCGGGCGATTAGGTTTTTGTCAACGTAGTGATTACATTCTCGGGGAGTCCGTTTCTACACAGGGGAGTAGTTAGTGGTGGGGTAAGAGCTGCCCTAAGTCTTCCCCACTAAGCATATAGCGGTTTTGTGGGTTTACGCTATAATTCAAGGTTCCGCGTCGGCCGGCAATGCGCCCGCGGTTACTGCTCAGATGCAGTTGAGTCCTCTCAGTCTCGGCCCAAAGTGGTCAATTCGAGTTCCATTACATTCTCTTTGGTTTTTGTATTTGAAGTTTCACTGTGTAGTGTGTAATTCGGTTATTCATAATTGACATACGAAATGTGCAACAAAAGTTCATTTAACGGAGAAATCAGAGAAATTCCAGGTAAAAATAATAATTTTGTTGTAAAAGTAATAATTTATTCATAAAGGTCCGATGCTAAATATAACAGTAATTTTTTATTGCTCTAAGTTAATAATACAGGACTAACAAGACATCTGAGATTGTTTTAGACTGAATTGTTTGTCATGTAGATGTAGTAATGTAGATGTGGTGAAGCCCCCTGTATGAGGGGGGGCTGCGGAAATGTATAGTTTCTGAAATATATTAAAAAAACTACCCTAACCTATGCAATGTTCCTATGGTGATATTTAGTGAGAATAAGGTTATGGTAGGTGGAGGCTCATACTTAGCCCTTCTATGTAGGGCTCTATTTCTGGGTAGTTATAAAAAAATAACCACGAAGGCTAACCTTCTAACCTATTCTGTCCGAGTCGGATTCCTCTGAATTGGGCTGTCAACCACAATGATGATATCAAAAAACTTAATCAACTTGAAAGATGAATAAAATATAATTTACCTTAAAAAAAAAAAAAAAAAGAGACAAATAGAAAATATAATTTTCTATTTGTCTCTTTTTTTTTAAGGCAAAGATGTACTGTAAGCCAAAAATAATTTTGCGGTCTGAAATAACATGTGTTAAAAGATGATATAATCATTAAGTTGTCTCTTTTTAATGCTTTAGAATGTCATTATGTAAATGTCAAGGGCCGAAAGCCAAAACAATACTGTTCTATACGATTCCTAGTAGTTAACCTATAAAACTTTAAAAATTAATTTCTCGAAAACTATAAGTTTCCGCAGAAAACCCTTCTAGCATTTACTTCAATGACCTGTTACCTACCTATTAAAATTAAAATTATCACTAAAATCATGCGACCGTAAACTAAAGCAAATTCCTTGTACCTGTTTTGACGATTTTACATGGCATTGTATTTGGACTGTTGATTGGTAATCTCAGATTATACATACTCTTTTGATATCAACTCTGGTCTTCTTGGTTTATGTATTATGTTTGAATTACTTTAAATTAAATTTAGAATGTTAGTTTTATTTGTTCAGACTGAATTGTGTCATATTTGATTGATTGCGTAAAAATAGTTTGAAGATGTAAAATGTATAGTTATCTGACATAACTCCTGTATTTTATATAAATTCAATAATGATTACGTTTGGTCCTAAAATAAGTTCAAAATGTTTAAGTTCAAATAAATAGTTTTCTTATCACTCGTTAAGTGTCTTTTCGGTTTGAAAATGATCCCATTAGCCACATCTACCATTCAAGATGGACTACAAATCTTTCAAGAACTACAACCCTTGCTTTCATATACGGACCTTTTTTTATTTGAGATGGCGGACAACAACCCTCAGCCGTCAACTAGTGCCGTTTGTGACGCGGGCGCTTCAGCATCATTCGAGACTGAGGCTGTTTATACCGACGGAGTATACGAGCAGAGGAGGTTGCACGTGGAAGAATTAATAAAAATGCCGAATTGGACCATGCTCTTTAAAAAGCTACAAACTCGGGAGCAATGTGTTGAGTTCGCAGAAGAACATAGCCTTATCCCCAAAAATAAAATGTGCAGCCATCATCGCATTCGCATCCCGATGCGAATTTCATATGGGAATTGTAAGAATGTTGGCCAATTTATATGCAATAAAGGCAACTGTAGTGCACGATTGAAAGTTTCTCGAGCCAAGGACACGTGGTTCGAAAACGTGAAGTTATCGATGCTGCGTGTCTACTTCTTGATGTACGCCTTTGCCCACCGATGGTCATTGACACTGTAATATTTGAGGATCCGGAGAGAGATACGGAAGGCTGCCTCTCAATGGCAACAATAGCCCACTGGTATAGCTACTGTCGTGAGACAGTAGTTATATATCAGTTAAATGTACAAAAAAACATAGGTAAAATTGGTGGCCCTGGCAAGGTGCAATTGATGAAAGCAAATTCGGAAAGAGAAAATATAACAAAGGTATTTATATTTTTTAATGGTCTTTTAAGTTGGTTAAGTTTTTTAATGTCATTATGTTTGACAGCCAGATTCAGAGCAATCCGACTCGGACAGATTAGGTTAGAAAGTTAAGGCGTGACCTTTGCTCGCGCCGTAGCCTTCGTGGTTATTTTTTTTATAACCACCCAGAAATAGGGGCCCTACATAGCAGGCCTCAATTGACCTAGCTTGGTAGGTAAACAAAATATATTGATATACAAAATGCGAAACCGAGTTCATGGAGACAGATATTATTTATGTTTGAATTGTTTTTTAAATAATATTTTTGTGATTTGTGTTGATTGGTAATCTCAGATTATACATACTCTTTTGATATCAACTCTTGACCTATTTGATTTATGTATTATGTTTGAATTACTTTAAATTTGGAATGTTAGTTTTATTTGTTCAGACTGAATTTTGTCATATTTGATAGACTCCGTAAAAATCGTTTGAAGATGTAACATGTATAGCTATCTGACATAACTCCTGTATTTTACATAAATTTCATAATGAATTGTTTGGTCTAAAATAAGTTCAAAATGTTTAAGTTGAAATAAACAATTTTCCTATCAGTCCTTAAGTGTCTTTTCGGTTAGAGAGAGATCCCATTAGCCACATCCACCATTCAAGAGGTTATGGGCCCAGAAACATCTATATTTTTTGGAGATTTTCCAGTTTTTGAGCAAAAGTGACAGCTGCAAAGAAATTTTCAAAGATGGACAAGCCCATCAAACCGTTATTAGAAAAAGAAACCATTATTAGAAAAAGAAACTATCAGACTTGAAACAAATTAAATTAGTAAATTACTTTAAAAATAACTGCTGTAGATTTTGAAAACATTTTGAAAAAGAACGAGCAGACTGCGACCATGAGTGAGGATTTATTATCCATGAATAAAATGAAGGCATGGTGATGAAGAAGAAATAATTGAAAAAAAGAAAGAATTCAAAAGGGAACAATTGAAAAAAAAAAACAATTGACGTTGTTGGGAATAAGGAGAGTGCAGAAACAAATGAAGTAGTTTGTGAGGAAACAGTTGAAGATGTGAGGAGTGTGAATTTTGTTCATAATCAGGATGAAGAAGTTGTAGAGAATAAAGGAGAAAGGTTGAAATAAACAATTTTTCTATCAGTCCTTAAGTGTCTTTTCGGTTTGAGAGAGATCCCATTAGCCACATCCACCATTCAAGAATTTGTTTTAGGACGACACATTGAAGGCCATTGGGTCCTTGGACTTATAGAAGATGGGAGTGAAGACCTTCGGCTAGAGGTTTGCCCGGAGAATGTGCGCTCAGCAGATGTGTTGGTGCCCCTGATCCAGAAGCATGTGATTGAGGGGTCAATTATTCATACGGACTGCTGGCGTGCATATGATTGTCTGGGTTGTTATGGATACATCCATAAAAAGGTGAATTACTTGGACCCAGACAATCCTTTTGTTGCTCCAGATGGCACTCGCACACAAAGGATTGTAATTTATCGTCAAAAAGTATTTTAAAAAAGATAACATCAATAACCCTAAAGATTTTTCTGATACTATTGTAGAATATATGTGGAGACGAAGAATGCAAAGAAATAAAAAGATTTATTTTTATCACTAATAGAGGCCATCGCAGTGTAGGACGACGCCCCACTAGATGGAGTGACGATCTGTGCAAATGTGCGGGAAGTCGATGGATGCAGGTGGCTCAGGATCGTACTTCATGGCAGTCTGTGGGGGAGGCCTATGTTCAGCAGTGGACTCAAACAGGCTGAAATGATGATGATGATGAGAGGCCATAAAGTTTGTTTATAAATTTAAATAAAGAATTTATTCTTACTCTTTTGTTTTATTTGTGCCTACATAGTTCTCTATATAATATATATATATATATATATATATATATATATATATATATATATATATATTATATATATATATATGTATATATGAGTTTAGGCCAGAACAAAACTGGCGACACGTCAGGTTTGGTAAGAATTGTGTCCGTTGAACGTAGATCAGCCCCAGAATCGAACCCCTGTAAGTAAGAAGGTTGAATGTAAAGCGTCAGACGGGGTGGAGAGAAGATTAGAGCCTCCTCCCCACTTGATTTAAACAAATACCATATTAAATTAATCAATATCAATATTTTATGTTAGGATAGATTTTTTAATATATTTCAGAAACTTACGTTTCCGCATCCCCCCCCTTTTAGAGGGGGTTCATCACCCCACCCAACCCCCCCAACCCTCTCCCCCCCTACGGGTGCAACCGTAAACTAAAGCAATGGCAGAAAAAGTACGAAAAGGTCGCCGCTGTGGGAATCGAAGCCACGTCTTCGGCATTCGCGGCCTAACGCTTTAACCACTAACCATTTTAATATTAAATCTTAAGTGCAAAGATTAGCACTATAAACAATTTAAATTTCTAAAAAAAAAGCAATGGCGACATCTTTCGTTCGAATTATCGTTGTAAAACGATATTCGAAATTCTTTGTATGCTGGAAACCGACTTTCTGACCGACTAACATATCAACCCAACTCCATGATTGTCAACGGAAAACTGAGCCTATTCTTTTTCTGTAACTATTATTAAAAAAAAACTTCAGGGATATCTGTGGATAACTTCACTGGCAAGAATTTAAGTTCTCGAGCATTCTTCATCAGCCATTATCATATGGACCATGTTGTGGGCCTCTGGCTAAGCCCCCTAATAGACCACCTCAGGAAGACTAATGCCTACATTTACACAACGGAAATCACAAAGTCCATAATGAAACTAGAAGGTGGAAGTCAGACACTAATGAATTATGTTAAAACTCTTAGTAAAGGTAAGAACTAGTACCGTATTTTATTATGTTTGTTTTTGTGGTGCGGTAACCAAAGTGTAAAACGAGACCCTATTACTAAGACTCTGCTGTTTGTCTGTCTGTCCGTCTGTCACAAAGCTGCATCTCATGAACCATGATAGTTAGACAGTTGAGATTTTCACAGATGATCTATTTCTTTCGCCGCTATAACAACAAATAAAAAATATTCAAGTTCCTATACAACAGTGACGATTTTTATTGTCGTTTTATCATAATTGTATGAGAGCCTTCTTGCGCGGCTTCGGTGTTTGTCCTCGTGAAATTTATGTTTGTAAAACATCTGTGTAACACAGGATAATGTTATCCAAAAGTAAGAACAATGTTTTAAAAAAAATATGATGCAGTGTATGAAATTATACATGAGAAATACTGGTTCTTTGTATGTCAAAATAAGTTAAAGATTTTTTTTTCTTTTTAAGATTATAGATTTATGTTTTCTTTTTCTTATTCTATATTTTGAAATAAACTAAATATACATCAAAAGTTTTTGTATTATAAATAAGTAATATTTTATTACTAGGATTTTTCTCAATGAAATTCCTATCTGGCTCACATGGTCAATTCTAGTTATTGTAATAATAATTATTAGAGTTTGTAGAAAAATCATTATGTTGATATGACAATTAAATTATCTATTACAGCAGCAAGACAACCATTGCATTGATTTTTCATTTTAGTTCAATAAATTATTATTTATTATTTTATTTACAATTGAAATATTGTCTTTCTGAAATAAAGATTTGTTAGTTTAAAATAAATATTATTAAAATGGCCTGTAAAACCTATACATAATCTAATACAACAAATTAATATGAGATATTGTTGAATATTTATTTTGTATTAAAATTAAGCAGACCGATGCAGTAATTATCATTGCATCATTGCACAAACTTTGTCATATTTTATATTGCTGCAATTATCACTACATAGTATAAAACAAAGTCTTCCCACTGTCTGTCTGTCCCTATGTATGCTTATATTACTGTAAGATTATATAGCTTGATGATTCTGCCAATGTCAAGATTGAATAAAACAAAGAGTTAGTAATATAATTAGCGAATAATATTGACTTTTATACAGTAGGTAGACAATTACACGAATCCAGTTGAGTTATCTAAACAAAGGACAAAACAATAAGTTAGTTTATATATATATATATATATATATATAGTTTTTCCATATGTAATAAATTTAAAAATTAAGTAGTTAAGACATTTACATTGCAGGTTATAATCTTATCACTTTGCCAAGTGTGCCGGAACAGGACCTCGAGGAGATGTTGGTCGACGTGACACTGATTCCCGCAGGGCACTCGCTTGGTTCCACAATGTTTCTCTTTAAGATACCTGAAAAAACTGTGTTGTACACTGGCGACTTCAGAATAAGGTGATACCCTCATTAAATTTTCCTTTCCAAACGCTGTTTGTAGTATTTTAGATTACTTGACAACATACTGTCTTATGCCCAGTTTCCGAAAGGCCAATCAAAGCAGCAATCACATAACACTATGTCAAAAATGATCAGCTGTTAATCTCTTGTTAAACTGCCTTGGGTTTCTGGAAGGTTTGTTCAAGAAAAATTAGCTAATCACTGTATAACCAACGCTAATGAATGAAATGAATGATTTACTTCAACTAACTCTTTCTATTGTATAGCTGTCCCTTTTTAAACAAAACTTAAATTAATGTCACTATCCAGTCCTGTCACCGTGTGATTGCCATCGTAAAAATCCGAGCTATAATAACTTTAATTTATATAAATACATCCAAAATGTCAAGAAAACATATTACAGAACGTGAAAAAAATGAACTTTTATCCATAATAAACAAGTAAGTATTATAAAAATAAAGAATCCATATTATTTATTAACTTTTGGATTGCATTTTGTATTTTTTCTAATCGCATGATATGTTCGCATAATAATAAATAGGTAATAGAACACATGAATTTCCTTATAACGTATTAGGGAATTATGTTTATTCCTAATAAAAACTAAGATTTTTGATAAAATACATTTTTAACCAACGATTGATCGTCCAAATTACTTAATAAAACTTTGCTCGTTGACCACCGAAAAACGCTTTCAGAAACTCGATTTTCTTTTTTTTTTTTTTTTTTTCGCTGTCAGAGTGATTGGAAGTTTGACTTGTTTTTTGTAAACCTTTTCGTTTGGATTTATATTATTACCGCGTTGAGATTTCCATTCTATCTGTATTTGTGTTTGTTCGTAGTATTTGTTGGTAAGTAGTTTTGTTAGTTTGTTATATGTAGTCCCTGTTAGTAATTATGGAAATTGAATTTAAATCTCCCTCTGATGCTAACAACTTTGTAGATTACCCTCTTCTCTCCAATTACAAACTTTCAGCTGCTATTCCCCCTTTCCATGTTTCTCGCATGGGTGTAATTAGAGGCATCCCTACAGACATTTACATGGAAGAATTAGTGAATGAGTCAGAACTCCCCAGCTCCTGTGGAGAGATAATTAAAGCTAGAAGGTTACACAGAAAGGACATGAAAAATGATGAAGTAGAATGGATTCCTACCCAGACTGTGGTTCTAACCTTTTCAGGTCAAGTTCTTCCCTCGCACATATATTGTTTCTTCACTTCTATCCCTGTAGAAACTTACTTGTTACCATCAATACAATGTGTGAACTGCTGCCGCTTTGGCCATATAAAAGCTCAATGCCGATCAAGACCAAGATGTTATAAGTGTACTAAAGAGCACACGGGGGATACATGTATTTCAGACACCCAGACATGCTTATATTGTTCAGGCAACCATAACGCTATAGATAAATCCTGCCCAGAACATGCCAGACAGAAAGCTATCAAAATAGTTATGTCCCAAGAAAATATCTCATACCTTGAAGCCTCTGCAAGATTCCCGACAGTTAGACGACCTTACTCCGATATTGCTGCATCCCAGATAGTCCCAACTCCTACCCAACCTGTGGAAATCCCCCTTCATAGATCGTCTCCTACAACATCTTTTAAAAAAACATTATATGTAAAACGAAAACCTAATCCTGTCTCCTACAGTATTCAGGCTATGACAGGTCAGCTCATGAAACAATTATTTGCACACCCCCTGCTACTCTTCCCAATGGGCATGCCCTAGCTGCTCCCTTAACCCCAAATGAAAACCTTTTAGAAAACCTTATTGCATCTATCGCAGCACTTATTGGTAAATTTGATGACATTGATCTACCACGTAATGCAAAAAATTCACTTGATTCTCTATTCTCTAAAATATACAGAATTCCAGTCCCTAGTTCTACTACAGTGGAACTGTCGGAGCATAAAGAATAAGAAGTCTGAAATAATCCACTTAATTAACACATATAAGCCAGCCGTAATTAACATCATGGAAACATGGCTTAGACCAGGATCCCCTTTCAGGATCCCGGGCTATTCCTGTATCCGGGCAGACAGAAATGATGGATATGCAGGCACCCTTATCTTGTGCAAGAACCGTCTGCCATTTTCCACTATTTCCTTACCCTCACTCTCAGATAATTTAAATGTTGTAGCAATTAAGACTATGGGTCAAATTTTTGCCTCTGTTTATATTCCTCATCCTACTCCTGCCTGTATTCCCGAGCTTAATACTTTATTCTCCAGCTTTTCTTCTCCCTTCATTGTAGCTGGTGACTTTAATAGCCATCATACAATGTGAGGTTCCCACAGAATTGACCCATTCTCCCACTTATTAGTAGATGTTTTTAATGACTTTAATTTGTGTGTATTGAATGATGGCTCTCCAACTCGGCGAGTGAATCCCTCGCAAAATTTAAGGTCTGCTGTTGATTTGACTTTATGTTCTGTGTCAGTAGCATCTAGCACCTATTGGCAAACCCTCCGTTATACTTATGGAAGTGATCATTTCCCCATTTTGGTATCTTTCTCTAACAGAAGCTTTCCATCCAGAGTTGTCACTCCTCTGCTGAAATTCAATACCTCTAGGGTTAACTGGCAGCTATATAGTTCTGAAACAAACACAAAAACATTAAATCTGCCTCCTGTTACTATAAATAACTTACAAGTCACTTATAATCATTTTATTTCCATTCTTACCCAGTCAGCTGAATCATCTATTCCTATTCAGAATTCATACCGTAATAAAATATCCTCCCCCCCCTTGGTGGGATTCAGACTGTACCAACATAATTCACCAACGTAAGGAAGCGGAAAAACAGTATACCTCAAATATGACCATGGAGAATTTTATCTATTATCAAAAGATAGCTGCCCAAGCAAAGAAACTACTTTCTGCCAAGAAAAAGCAAGGTTGGCTCTCCTTTTGCGAAAGCCTATCTCCTCGCTCTCATTCTTCATTGGTATGGAAAAATATAAGGCGATTTCGCGGAGCACTCAACAACTGTAGTTTTCCTTCTACTAACCTCAATTCATGGCTCACCGATTTCCTTAACATATTGGCCCTTCCGTGGGTCCCCTGTCTAGAAGAATTATTCCCCACACTCTATGCAGATGCCCATGCACCTCCCCATGCGCATGACAAATTTGATGAGCCATTTTCTTCTGCTGAGCTTCATTTAGTCCTTAAGGATCTTAAAGATACTTCTCCTGGAGCTGATGGGATCCCTTATTCATTCCTAACAAAATCTGGGTCTAGTACCCGCAAATACTTTCTAGACCTTTTAAATAAAACATTTATTACTGGATTTATTCCAGATGAGTGGAGAACCCAGCTCATTATCCCAATTCTGAAAACGGGTAAAGACCCCTCTTTGCCGTCCAGCTACCAATAGCTCTCTCTTCTACTCTCTCGAAAATTATGGAACACCTTATCAAAAACCGATTAGAGTGGTTAATAGAAAACAAATGTTTGCTGCCCAAAACGCAATTCGGCTTCAGGAAGGGATTGAGCACAATTTACAGCCTTAGCATCTTTATCTCTGAAATCCGACTGGCATTTTCCAAACAAGAATCTATCACCGCAGCCTTTCTTGGTATAAGTTCGGCATATGACAATGTGATTCTTCCGCTCCAGCTGAGCATTCCCGTGAGGATAATCAATTTCATATCCAACCTATTCTCTAACAGGCGTATCCTTGTTCGCACTCAAGGGGTTTCCCTTCCTTCTAGATCTGTCTGGAAAGGACTTCCACAAGGATCTGTACTGAGCCCTCTTCTTTTTAACATCTACACTTATGATCTAAGTACATCTGTCAATTATACATCCAGTATTTTACAATATGTTGATGATCTTGCTCTCTATGCTACTAATCCTTCTATAGCTGAAGCATCTTCCCACTTATCAACTGCCATTGAATATCTAAACACATGGTTATCTAACCATGGGTTATCCATATCCCCTCTTAAAAGTAATATTGTTGTCTTCTCTCGACATCGTTTTATCCCTGACCTTTCTATTTCTGTAGGCAACCAGAATATACCAAACAACAATAAAGTAAAATTTCTGGGTGTCTATCTGGATTCAAAATTAACTGGAATTCCTCATTTGTCTTACATTACATCTAAATGTGAAAAAAACCTGAATGTCGTTCGTTCTCTATCTGGTGTCTGGTGGGGTTCCCATCCATATACACAAAAACTCTTATACAACGCGCTAATAAGGAGTCATTTTGACTATGGCTCTTTTCTACCAGAACCTTGTAACAAGGCAGCTCTGGCCACTCTTGATAAGATCCAGTACAGATGTCTCCGCATAATCACAGGTTGCATGAAATCTTCCCCTATAAACGCCGTCCAGGTGGAATGTGCCGAACCACCTCTTCTACTCCGCAGACAACTTATGTCAGATAAGTTCCTATTCAAAGCAGCTCAACTCTTGTACCATCCCCTTCTCTCTAGGCTACAAAGCCTCTCCCAATTAGCTAGAGAATCCAGTTACAGGACTCACAAAGACTTACCATGCCTTTTAAAAAGTTATTTTAAATTTGTTAACATACGGTCACCAATTTTCCAATCCACCAAGAATCCGCTTTTTGAAACTCCCTTTGAGGCCTTAATGTTCAACCCTCAAGTAATTCTAGACTTTGGTATACATAAAGATACGGTTGATCCCAATAATACGCTAAAACAAATTATCACTCAACATTGGCATGACTGGTTGCTCATGTATACTGATGCATCTAAATTAACTAATCAAGGCTGTACTGGCTTTGCAGTGTGGATACCGAAGTACAGAATAATACTCAATAACAAGTGCTCCTCTTATACTTCAGTATTTACCGGCGAATCTCTGGCAATTCTAGAAGCAGTCCTCTACTCAGAATCTCATAATATAAGTAAAACCTTAGTCCTTTCCGATTCTTTAAGTTGTCTAAAAAATCTATTGTCAAACCCATTCCGTTCGAAGTTTAGAAACCCAACTATTTTAAAAATGAGGGAGACTCTGTTAAAGTGTCACCTAAAGGGACTAAACGTAGTCCTTGCCTGGATCCCAGGACATAGTGGAATTCAAGGCAACGAATGTGCAGACCAACTGGCTAAAGCAGCTTCAACTTCTAACTCTCTTTCCTTGCAACATACTTTTTTATATGATTTGATACCATCAGCTAGTTCAGATCTCATGGCCTCATGGCGTAATCTCTGGTGCAAATCTAAACTTATTTCCGGTAAATATTATGCTCGTGCCCAAGAAGACATTCCCAAAAAACCCTGGTTCTTTCAGTATCGTAATGCCAGCAAACAAATTACATCAACCATTTGCCGTCTCCGCCTTGGACATAGCTGCACACCTGTTCACTTAGCCAAGCTTAGAATCAGGGATAACTCAATCTGTGAGTGTGGGCTGGGTGAAGGATCTCCTGAACATATATTTTTTGCTTGTCCCAAATTAACTTTCTCCTTATATGACTTCCTCCCTCCTAATATTCCGCGTCCTGCTAATATGTCTGTCATATTATCCCTTGTTTTTACTCCATTTGTCAAAACATTGTGCGATTTTATCCATGTAAATAAAATAAAATGTTAATGTATTTAGATTTGTGACATGTATTATTAAGGTGATGGGTGTTAAATGTAATGTGCAAATGTCTCTACTTTCAGGTTGGAAATCTCAATATAATCTCCAAATTTTATCTGATCTAAAAGTACAAACGTCACTCCCTTGACTGACATGATATTGGCAGAATTCTTTTAAGAGAAGCCATTTATTAAAGAAGAAGAAGAAGAACTCGATTTTCTGTTGATTGTCCGTTAATCAGTGACTAATTGCAAATCAAAATCAATGTTGTTTTCAGACGTTCTAGCAACTCAGATCATGTTAAACAACGTTTGACAAGAGATTTATCGTAAATTAAAATTGATTGCGCTTTCGGAAACAGGGTGTTAGAATGATTTTTTTTAAATCATGGGTGTTTGCCACTAAACAAGCTAGCGGTTCACCTAATGTTAAGTGATAACCGCCGTCCATGAACATTTGCAAAAAATTTGCCCGTAGGGTTGCAAATGCGTTGTCACCTTTATATAAATTGGCGCCCGGCTACCTCACTCACCAGACGAAACGCAGAAGTTTAACACTTCCACGTCACGTCGGTCTTCTGTGAGGTCGTGGTACTCACCCGGACGGACCTACCCATTTGTGCAACAGTGAATACTGTTGCGTGGCCCTGCCACAGTAATTCCTACCACAGCAATAACACATATAGTGGCAATTACATTTTTTTCTCTTGAATAGATCAACCAATCAAATTAACTTAAAATATTGGTTTGACAGAACATTTTCCTAAAGTAGAAGTATCTACACTTTTGAATTTCGCCTACTTAGTGATCTGTACATACTCAATATTCGTAATCACTAAAGTAAAGTAACAGCCTGTATATGTCCCACTGCTGGGCATTATCGTCCTCTGTTCAGAGGGTATCAGGGCATAGTCCACACTCGGCCCCATTGTCGATTGGTGGACTTTACATATCTTCGAAGTTATTTCGAATATACGTTTCCCCACAACGTTTTCCATCACTAACAGACAAGGCACCCTAATTATTATTATTTTATTATTAAACTATGTTGTGTCTGAGCTAGTCCAGTTATTTGAACTATAAACTTAAGGCAAAAATATAACATCTTAACAGATAACTAAATCTTCAATTAATCACCCCTTCATTACCATCCCTCATAAAAAAAAAAACGCTACAGTCTGAGCACGTATTAACTCGGCACTTAAAATGTACGAGTGTGGTCACATAAATTGTGATGACCCGTTATAAGTGGTGGTCCATCGTACTGTGGTGGGTCCACGCAGTGTTTTTTATTGCACGAATGGCCAGGCTCGTCCAGGAAAGTTATATCTCACAGAAGACCGACGTGAGGTGGACATATACAATTTTGTCGTCTGCTGGGCTCAGTGTCCGCGCGCATAGCTTCGTAACTTTCATAACGACTCGTAGATAAAAGGCGTGTACGCCCGGTTCCCATATTAACGAAACGAGGCGTTTTCCTTACGAGCCGTTGCATTACCCACGGAAAGTGAGTTACCGGCGTTCCTTTAATCCACAAGCCGTTATGAATGTCACGAAGCTATGTAACTAATGGCCGTTCGTTGAATATAGGAACCGGGCATAAGGGGGCAATGTTCTCGAAGGAAAGACCACCACAGACTAGCCGTCTTACTCCCCAAATTCGATTCGATTCGTTTTTGTTTTCGATTCGAACTCTTGATTCGAAACGTCACAGACAAATGTTACATTTTTACTTTTATAAAATCTTCACTACATAGTCGTCACTACAATAAACAAAGTCGTACCGTTGTCTGTATGCTTAGATCTTTAAAACTCCGCAACGGATCTTGATGCGGTTTTTTTATACTAGATAGAGGAAGATTTACCTATATGTATAATACATTGTACCCAAGCACAGCCGGGGCGGGTCGCTAGTTGTTAGATAAAATTATAATCGCTTAATTTTTTCGAAAAATCATTCAATCTTAGTTCCAATTAGCGCCACCGCTCGATTTTTTTAAACCTTCCCTTCCACAAGGCACAAACACAAAAAAAGACCACGATTTCGCCACCGCCAGGATCAACGACGTCGCCAAATACTCAAAGCTGCACGAGCCGAACGGCGAACCGATAAAGATAGACGCCCTATACGTCGACACGACCTTCGTCGCGTCTAGATTCGGGGACTTCCCCAAGCGATCGGACACGGTTGAGTCCGTCATAGACGTGATAGAGACGTGGCTCGGGGGCGGCCCGAGTCGCGAGGTGGCGGTCTACCTCCCGGGGAACTACACGTTCGAGTTCATATTTAATAGGATCCACGAGAGGCTGAAGATGAAGGTCCAGGTGGGTGAACTGAAGTGGAGGCTGTACAGGTGAGTAACGGCCTAGGTATAAATAAATAAATATTTAGGACACAATTTTTTTGACTCTACTACTAAACTAAGCAACGTTTGTAGTATGGGTACTATATAACGGATCAACATACTTTTGTAAATAAATATACATATACAGGGTGGCTTTTCTAAAGGTGCCCAAATTCACACAGGAGGTTCAGACTCGGTAGTATAATCGTTTATTGAAATAAAAACAAACTTTTTTTTTTTAAATTGCCATTCTATTCCCTAAAAAACAGAACTTGTTGACAATGCGGTAGTCATTCATAAATGCGTCGTATACTTTTGAAACGAACTTGTTGCGTGTTAGTTATGAATGATCGCGTAAAATAAATGAGTTGCCCATAAATCGCGCACTTTCTGAGATTAGTTCAAATTCAAGTTCATCAATTAAGAGTGATTTTAAATATTTATCATTTTTTATATAACTTTATTTATGTCTAGAATTTAATAAAAAAAATGGATACACTTAGAAAAGCCTCCCTGTATATTACTTGATGGCTCCGTGGCGCAGTTGCCAAGGTATTGGCTTCTGCATCGCCGGTCATGGGTTCGATTCCCACACGGGTGTGTTGTTTCGCGTCTGGGTGTTTGTCCGCGTGAAATTTACGTTTGTAAAACGTCTATACAACACAGGGTAGTGTTATCCTAAAGTAACGGTAATCTAAAAGGAAAAAAAATGAAATGAAATTAATTACAAAAAAAAAAAAAGAAAATTATAAGTGTCAAATTGATTTTCCTTGCAAGCCGTACTTATGTCACTTCAGGTCAATGACTTTCCCGTTCTCGTTTGGAACGCGCCCTGTGCGGGCGTCGCGTTTAATTTCCAGCACCATTCAGGAGCTGGTGCCGGGCGTCACCGACTGGCGGTCGAGGGTCCACTTATGCCCCTGGCGGCGCGCCAGCTCGGAGAGCAAGCGGTGCGCCCACGACGCAACCCTAGACTACCTGCACGTGCGGCTTTCGGCGTACAAGTGGTCCGACTACGATTTGGACCGCGCGCCGGTCAAGCGCGAGTCGGAGCGTCAGCTGCTCGCCTGCTTTTCGACCCACTGCTCCCGCAGCGAGTTGCTACACTTCGTGGAGCATCTGTCCCCTGCCAAAATAGTGGGCTTCCCCAACGTGTACACGCCGGGGACTCCCCCCGACGACCCGGTGGCGGGATACCCGCCCGCGCCGAAGAGGAGGCGCAACAGACGCCTGGACTCCACCGGCTCGGTGGGCGGGGAGATCCTCAAGTGAGCCTGCTGCTGGAATGGATGGGACACGGTGGGGTTAGATGAACTGTGGTGGGGCCACGCAACAGTTGTGCGGGAATCCCCGTCCGGGGAAGCACCGCGAAATGGCAGTGAGGTAGCCGGGGCCCGTTATTTTCTTTTTTTTTATAACAAGCTGCTCTCTATAACATCATCCTGTGTTGTAAGGGCGCTTATTAAACATAAATTTCACGCGGACAAACACCCAGATGCGAAACAACTATCTGTGGTTCACACAAATAGCTGTCCCGTGTGGGAATCGAACCCACGACCCGCGGCTCCGAAGCAAATACCTTGGCAACTTCGCCACGCAGTCATCAGGTTAGTTAAGCTCGACTTCGCTAAACGCCGAGTTATCGTTATTATTTCGATCTCAGAATGGAATTAGTTTTTATATTTTATATATTGTTCGTTTGGAGGTATCGATACTTCAAAATTGTTTTTAATGAAACTTTACAAGAATGTAGCTTATACGTCAGAATAAGACATAGGCTATAATTTATATACATATTTTTTGTAAATCTGTTATTCTGTCTTAATGTTACACCTTCAGCCTATTCTATGCAGACATAGTCGCGGGCAGCAGCTAGTCCGTACTTATATTATAAAGGCGACAGTTTGTATGTAAGGATGGATGTTTGTTACTCTTTCACGCAAATACTACTGAATGGATTTTAACGAAACTTTACAATAATACAGCTTATACATCAGAATAAGACATAGGCTATAATTTATATACATATTTTATGTAAATCTGCCTTTCTGTCCTAATGTTACACCTTCAGCCTATTCTACGCAGACGTAGTCGCGGGCAGCAGCTAGTTTCGAATAATATCAGCATTTCATGACCCGATAGGCGTAGGAGATTGTGGACACGTCTCTTGCGCCAGATGCGTTAGATTCGATTCCCACTACAAAATAAATGATTTGTGAAATATTGTGCCCTATTGACTTTTATTTTGCCTATGCTTTCTAACATTCAAGTATGTTTATTAGTTACCATGTAGGTATAGGTTTTTTTTCATATCTATTAACTTATAAAACCTGTTAAATAGTTGATTTCATTATTGTTTTACTGGCTTTATAATCTTTAACGTTACTTATTGAGTGATAAACTAAGACAATAAAATGTAACAGATTTTATAGTCATAATAATATTATTATTAATACGCCATCTTTGTCTGTACCTTATTTTAATTACGTGTTATATTTGACGACATGAATTATTATTATTTTTATAGAGTTAAGAAAACAATTATTAATATATTATTAATAAATATTTTCTTTGTATTATTTTTGCTAAGCCCACTTGTATGATTGCTATGATTTATATTTGTTGTACTAAATAAAATGTTACCTTATGCGGTTTGTTTTATTTTTTTTATTGGAACACGTTATTATTGTCTTAGTTTAAGGTCTTCGGATTTCTCCATGCAGACAATTCATCAACAGTTATACTACCAAAAAATTATAATATACTAGCGGACCCGACAGACGTCCTGAACACACGACTGAAATCCGACAACTTATAAAAGTTGTGTCCCGAATTGTGAATATAAACCATTCTCAAATCGACTGAAGACACAAAAAATTACATTAAAATCGGTCCAGCCGCTTAGGAGGAGTTCAGTGACGTGTACACGTACAGAAGAATTAACTATACAGGCCGGCTTTTCTAAGTGTATCCATTTTTTAAATTCTAAACATAAATGACATCTTATATAAAAATGATAAATATTTAAAATCACTCGTAAATAATTAATTACTTTCATTGGAGCTTATCTCAAAAATCGACCAAGTGCGAGTCGGTCTCGCGCACGAAGGGTTCTGTAGGTACTTTTTAAGCACGATATAAAATGTAGTACATGCGGGCGGTGCCGAGGGCGAAAAGCTAGTCAAAAACATCTATCGGGTAAAGCCGCGGCACATACATATGGCATAATAAAGATGAAATTGCTACATACAATTTGTAATTAACTACGCGGTCGAAGTTAATTATACTCTTTAATTGTAACAATCAAACGCTGTAGACTTTTTGTTTACCTCAACTTTTCAAATATGAGGTTGTTGTGTGTCGTGTTGTTAGTTCATTGCACAATATTCGTGCGTAAGTTGTACTTATATTTGATAGATAGATTGTAATAATATGTCTATATATTATCCATTCGCTAAAAAACTAATGTCTGATTGATGGTTTGCTTGTAGAAGAAAGAGTTTTTCCAAATATATCGGCCTTTCCGGAATATTTGGGAAACCATGTATAAACACTTTGCATACACACGTAAATGAATAATTAAATTTACTAATGTTTTATTACAAAGCGCTAATAATTTATTTGAAACCATAGTTTAATATAAAAGAATGGTTGTAATAATTACCTATTGAACCGTAACCAGAATGAATAAACTAAGATCATGTTGAAATCACCGACTATACAGAGTCGACATCCATAGATTAATGTACCTAACTTTTTTTATAACAAAAGCGGTGCGTAAGCGATATCATAAATAGGGAAGTCCTGTTAAACTAGTACACAAAAGTTATTATTATTTTTCAAGATGGCGCCAAGACACCGAAAAAGTATAACATAACGAAGTGAGTATTTTAGGTGTGGCTGTCAAAATGGTTTATATTTTTCTTAAGAATAAAACTTTAATTACTGACCCTAAACGTGGCGCGTGATAAGTCAGCACTTAAAAGTTAAAAACTTCATTGGTGCCGGCACCGGGGATCGAACTCCGGTTGCTCGAGTATATTGAATTAAAGGCGAGCGCCTGGACACTGAGCTATCACGGCTCTAACGTGCTCAGAGGTGAAGGAAAACATCCTGAGGAAACCTGCATATTTTCGAAATAATAACAAAAAAAAAATTCAAAGATATGTGAAGTCCGCCTATACAGCAAAATATGCCTTGGCCTGAGATAATTTCTTATTATAAACTTATGGCCACGATGTTGGATTGTGACGAGATTTTTTTAGAATAGTGTAACAGGATTGTTTACCTGGTCAATGAAGAGAATTAGAGGACCCTCCTATCTTTGCATTTTTGTTACATTAGTTTCTTCATCGTTATTTTATTTAAGGCTATATTATTTTATTAAATTTAATAGTAGGTTTATTTTCAAGAATGAGGAAAGTAACGAAAACTGAACTGACTTTCGATTGTCGGAACTTATTCACGGACACGTATTTGGAAGTTGTCTCACTATATGTGCTTTAGATCACTTATTTAGTGATATTGAATTTCTAAAACTTCAAGGAAATTGTGGCAATTATAATCGACGACCACGACATAGAATAGATGATGGCGTATAGGCAATGGAATAGGTCGCTTCAAATCGGCAGCGAATTCAGATGGAGAATGTTTCGTAAATGTGGTAAAGATAAGAAATCGAACACGTAAGGGAAATTAGGAATGAAACATCTTACAGTTGAAGGGACTTTGCATAGGCACTAATAATGGCCTAAGCCCGAGAATGTTACCATATCTGCAGCCCTAGATATTTTTCGTCGATCTTTTTTTTTTATGTGGAAAGTGGCGAATGAGCTTGCGGTTCGACAGATGTTAAGTGATATCCGCCGCCCATGGACATTTGCAACATCCTTTCGTTGCTGATGCGTTGTCAAGTTTTAATAAAGTGGCTCCGGCTACCTCACTCGCCAGACGAAACGCAGAAGTGCAACACTTTTACTTCACAGCGGTCTTCTGTGATGCTGTCGCAATTACCTACAGACCTGCCCAATCGTCCACAGCGAGCTCTTTAGATGCAAGTTAAGGAATTTTATTTTTAGTGTCTATCACCTAGCACAGGTGAAGTTAAAATGTTACTTTTGTAAAGAAATTGTTTAAAAATAATGATTCAAACACTTTTCTGTTTACATGTAAAGTATGCACACTAGAAGGAAGCTTATATGAAACCTGCATATTTTCGAAGTAATAACAAAAAAAAATTATTCAAAAATATGTGAAGTCCGCCAGTGCGCAGTGGGGTCGCGTGGTCTTTGCTCTGATACCCTCTTAACAGAAGCCTTTGCCTCTTTACTTTTATGCACACTAGATGGCGCCAAGCATTGATAAAAAATCAATAGAGAAAACTGAAAGGTTTCGAGATTTACAGGTCGTATGGGGTATTATCGCCCTAATATTTTGCAGGAGAATTGTTCTATTTATGTATTTATCTAACTGTTCAGGCCATCAGCGAAATACGACAATCCCAACTTTATACGGGACCGCTTTAGAGGTAAGTTAAATCAACTGTACCTGGAGCATATAATTATCCTGTGCTATAAGAACGTTTTACGTGGACAAACACCCAGATCCAAACACTCTGTCGGTCACACAAACAGTTGTGTCGTGTGGAAATCGAACCCACGAACAACGGCGCCGCAGCCGGCTACGGTGAGAGGGCAGGCTCGTCCGGGTAAGTAATACGACCTCACAGAAGACCGGCGTATAGTGGAAGTATAATACTTTCGCGTTTCCTCTGGTGAGTGAGGTGGCCGGAGCCCGATTTTCAAAAGTTTGTCAACGCATCTGCAACCCTCGGGTGTAGCAGATGCCCATGGACGGCGGTATTCACTTAACACCAGTTAACCGTCTACTCGTTCGGCAACATTTCGCATAAAAGAAAACTTTAGCAACTGCGCAACGGAGTCATCTATAGGATTGCTTGTGCAGACGAAATCAGGAAGCCCTTCTTCAACGAGACCTGGCAGAACCGTTTCAAGAGGCCCTTCCACCCTTCGTGGATGGACTACTGCGACCCCTACCACTGCAACGCTTACAACAGGATCGCGTGCGGTCTTAACAGGAAGAAAATGCACTTCAAATGGTTCAGGAGCGGCTGCCACATCATCCTGAACAACATGTGCTCTAGCTATCGCGGCAACCTGAGTAAGCATTAATCACTACATAGTATAAAACAAAGTCGTCCCGCTTTCTGTCTGTCCCTATGTATGCTTAGATCTTTAAAACTGCGCAACGGATCTGGACATTCGCGACAATAAATGAACACACATATAGGGGATAAATTTTTAAAATTGTATTAAACATTTACATTTTTGAAACATCAATATTTACAGAGTTATTAAATTTCCCACAAGAATTTTAGAACATCCTTACATAAAAAACTGTAACGTAAAGTTCATTTTTAAGGTCACAAAGCTTAGGAATGGGTTGAATGAATTTAAAAGACACAAAACATACATATACAGGCTTGTAATGCGACGCTGTGGCGCTTGCTAGTTGTATAAGATGTTACAAATTTTGTTTCTTGTTTACTTAATTAGTTTGTTTGAAAAATATTTTTTTTTATTATGGATTTTGTTTAACGTTAATATTTTTTTATGATTATTGGTAAGTAGCGTTAGACGTGTCTTCATTTATTGTCGCGATGGTAACGACACGCTGTATACGGGGCGGTCGCTAGTTAATGATAAAGTAACAGCCTGTATATGTTCCACTGCTGCGTAAAGGCCTCTGTACAGAGGGTATTTGAGATTAGTCCACCGCGCGATCCACTTTGGATTGGCGGACTTAGCATATCTTCGAGATATTTTTTTTTGTTATAATTTGGAAATTAGTGAAGGTTTCCTCACGATATCTTCCTTCACCGCTGAGCGCGCGGTGAGCCAGCTCTTACAATTAACTATTGCATTTTTGTCTTTATCGGGATTTGAACTAAGGATGCTAGAATACATTGAATTGCAAGCGAGCGTCCGGACACTGAACTATATGCCCGAATGATCGATGGATACAGTGTTGTAGATAGTTTAATTCTGTTGGTAACTGTAAATGTTTATTAATAATGTTCTATATGTGTTTAGTTGGTAAGCCTAAATAAATAGATAAAATGTCTGGTTCTATGATTATCAAACATAACCGAGAGAGACCCCTCCCCATAACAAAAACGGGGAGGTCTCCCAGTGTGATAATTTCTGCGCCGTGTAAGTGTCGTATAAATTAAATCCTTAGGCATCAATCAATTGATAGAAAGGTTTGTCTGTTGACGTTCTACTCCAAATTTTATTCGTTTTCTTTTAAGCCATTGATAGCATTAGCAGGGAAAAACATAAAATCCGTTCATTTTGTGTTCATATTGATGCTGAAAATTCCATCGTAGTCACTTTTCGCTGAGTCTTATATTTTTACTAGCGGACCCAACAGACGTTGTCCTGTACACGCGACTCAAATCCGACAACAACTTATGAATTTAAAAAAAAAAGAATTGTGAATCTAAACCATTCGTCCAATAAACCTATAAGACATATAAGATTTCATTAAAATCGCCCGTTTAGGAGGATTTTCAGCTTTTTTTTACTAGATAGAGTGCTTCAAGAGGAAGGTTTATATGTATAATACATTGCACCCGTGCGAGGCCGGGGCGGGTCGCTAGTAAATAAAATAAAATACAAAAGTCAGCGCTGTTTGATTCCCGTGACGTCTAGAATATGACATGGTGGACCAAAAGTTTTGCGTCCGCTACGTGCTGTTCCTGAGGTCTGGATGCCCGGTGACCTGTGCTGGCGAAGAGTTGGAGCCCGTGTGCGGGGTCAGCGGCGTGGACAACCACGTGGTGCTGTTCAGGAACAGATGCGCCCTGGACTCCGCCAACTGCCGCCGGGGGATCTTGCAGGGTCATGTGCTCCTTTTCAGGGCTCCGCACCCGAAGGGTAAAACGGGACCCTTTTTTTTTGGTATCGGGGGGGGGGGGAAATCTACCCTGATCTGCCCTGTCACGATATCACAGGGTTATGTGGGGTTCGTACCCACTAAAACCCACACAGTGACCACCTTCGGTACGTTTGGAGGGACTCTGGGACCTACGGCATTGCGCGTGAGCACGCCTCGGAGAAGGGTACACCTTCCCCGATTCCCTCGCCGTCTTGCAGCAGCACGAGACCATTTCGCGCTGGTGCCAATCCGTGTCCTCTTTTAGTCGCCTTTTACCCCAGGCAGGGGATACCTTAGCTCTATTCTACGAGCCCGAGACTACAGGGCTGAAACGGGACCCTCTTACTAAGACTCCCTTCTGTCCGTCACCAGGCTGTATCTCATGAACCGTGATAGTTGGATAGTTGAAATTTTCACAGATAATGTATTTCTATTGCCGCTATAATAACAAATACTAAAAAATCGCATACTATAGACATAATTTTTGTGCTGTTTTTGTAGATAATGGTACGGAACCCTTCGTGCGCGAGTCCGACTCACACTTGGCCGCCTCTTTTAAGTGAGAAGGTGGCAATCGAGCTGTCGATTCACCCGATGTTAAGTGATAACCGCCGCCCATGATCATTTGAAAAACCCGTAGGGTTGCAGACGTGTTGCCAATTTATAAAATAGTGGGCTCCGTTTACCTCACTTCTCGCCGGTCTTCTGCGAGGTCGTGGTACTTCCCGAACGGATCTGCCCATTCGTGCAACAGTGCAGATTGTTCCGTACCCCTACCACAGTAACCAGCTACCTCACTCACCGGGCGTAACGCAAAAATATAATCGTCACAAATATTTATTTGGTGTTTTTTTGTGTGAAAAGTTCCCAACCGAGCAGGCGATTCACCTGATGTTAAGTGAATACTGCCGCCCATGGACATCTGCATCACTCGAGGTTTGCAGTTGCCTTGACAACCTTTTGAAAATTGGGCTCCGGCCACCTCACTCACCAGACGAAACGCGAAAGTATTATACTTCCACTTGACGCCGGTCTTCTGTGAGGTCGTTCGTCAATTGAAATAGACATATCATGTTCCGTGTGCTGATCCCGTTATAACTTCATCAATTGTATTTTTATTCCAGAATACGAAGAAGTCCATATGGACGTGTGCGGCTATTATCTTTAAATTTGCATCACGACGAATCAAATAAAACGTGTTTATATAACCGAAAGCTACTATATACTATCTTACTGACTTGGACATAAAAAAAAAACTAACAACCTGAGTCCACTCCCCCGTGGCGGTAAATATTTTTTATGCTGACCGTGCCCGTTAAGCACGGTCAGCATAAAAAATATTTACGATGAATGTAGGAGAACTTCGAGAGGAAATCTGCACATTTTCGAAGTAATAACAAAAATTATATTTCGAAGATATGTGAAGTCTGCCAATTCGCAGTAGGGTCGCGTGGTGGACTACGCCCTAATACCCTCAGTACAGAGGAGGCCTTAACCGGCAGTGGGGCATATATAGGCTGTACTTTTCATTTTTTTTAAAAAAAGGCCAAAAGCAGTATCTTCAACACTGCAAAATGCAACAATTCGCATCTACAAGAATAAGTGAGAAATCATTTAAAAATGGTTTTACTTCGAATAATTTAGCATGAGCGACACAATTTCTTTAAAAAAATTATTGATAAAGTTTTTAATGATTATCTAGACGACAACACCAATTAATACTGGTGCTATAATGATTACTTTATTCATTCTTTATTACAAAAAAAACGGAGACAACAACGTAAAGAATTTTGCACACAACTTTGGTAAAATTTATTGAACATGCTTGAAAAATAATCTATTATATTAGATATTTTGTCTCTTAAATACAATATTTTGCTGTGGTAGGACCACGAAACAGTATTAGGTGGTGCACGAATGGGCAGGTATGTCCGGGTTAGTAACACGACCTACAGAAGACCGGCGTAAAGTAGAAGTGTTACACTTCTGCGTTTCGTCTGGTGAGTGAGGTAGCCGGGGCCCACGTTATTAAAAGGTGGCAACGCATTTGCAACAGTGTTGCAAATGTCTGCGGGCGGCGGTTATCACTTAACATCAGGTGACCGCCAGCTCGTTTGCCGCTCACATAAAAAGAAAACAATATTTACTGCGCTGAGATGATATCGGCTTTAGCTCAGTTGCCTAGAGCGTCTGGGCATTACCCAGAAATCACAGGTTAGCGTCTTGATAGCGCCGAAATTTTTTCTAAAATTTCGTAATTCTCATTTAAAATTTCGTCTTTGATTGAATGCAGATTAAAATTATGTAAAACATGAGTAGCATCAAAATTATTGGTGGAAATTGCAAACTCCAGAAATAATGTTTTATGCGTTTCTGAAGCACAAGATTTAATAAATTATAATAAAACACTTATAATAAAACATCATCTACGGTGGTAGAGCCACGCAGCAGCCTCGGCTGTAGCACGAATGGGCAGGCTCGTCCGGATAAGTACCACGACCTCGCAGAAGATCGGCGTAAAGAGGAAGTATAATACTTTCGCGTTTCATCTGGTGAGTGAGGTGGCCGGAGCCCAATTTTCAAAAGGTTGTCCAACGCATCTGCAATCCTCGGGTGTAGCAGATGTCCATGGGCGGCGGTATTCACTTAACATCAGGTGAACCGCCTGCTCGCTTGGCAATTTTTCACATAAAAAAGAGTATATTTTAGACACTGTTTTCTTCTATCTTGCGTTTAGAAAGGTATCATAGACATGTCTGACATGCTTTTATTTTAAAATAAGCTTAGAAGCAGTCGTCTATCAGTTTTTCCAAGAAAATACAAAAAAATAAGAAAAAATGCATAAATAGCATTACAAAGTTTCTAGAGCTAATTAAACATTATAGAAAAAGAATGTTTATTAATTGTACATAAAATTATTTCTAGAGCAGTTCGAACATAAATAACGCTCTACTGTAAATTTCAGTTTTTGACATATCTTTATGTATGTATGTACGTAGGGACCGTCGATATGTGTTTCTGCTTGGCAATGGGAATAAGGAAAATCGGTTATTTATAAATTTATTTATATATTACTTATTATTATTTAGTTATTTATATATTTATAGGTTATTTATTAAATAATTTGTGAGAATGAAAAATAATATTCTATGCATATATAATGAGACTAGGGAAGTAAGGCCTTATGTAAAAATATCACATACATGTATTTATAATAATACGATAGGGAATTTCGCTCCAATCAACCACCTAGAAATTTCTATAGTTAAAGTAATATTGCACTGTTTTCTGATGTTTCGAAACTTACTATCTATGAACGCGAGTTGCGTTGGTTAATTGAAACACTGTTTAAAAACGCTTGGGTGGTATTTAATTAACGCCACACAACAATGAATTGCCATACATTCCGAAAAGAAGCTACGAATCGGCCATGAAGGCAGCTATGTTTCTATTAATTTCGGCTGGTAAGGTATTTCATTTGTTGCGTCACTGTTTGACGTTCGTAATCACGTGTATACTTGGCTTTCTACTGAAAATAGGGGTTGCATTATTGGACATTTTTTAAGGGTTCCGTACCCAAAGGTAAAACGGGACTCTTTTACTAAGACTCCACTGTCTGTCTGTCTGTCCGTTTGTCACCAGGCTGTATCTCATGAACCGTGATAGTTAGGTAGTAGAAATTTTCACAGATGTTGGTATTTCAGTTGCCGCCATAACAACAAATATTAAAAAGCAGAATAAAAAGATATATAAGTGGGGCTCCCATACAACAGACAGCCGTTTTTATAGATAATGATACGGAACCCTTCGTGTGCAAATCTGACACGCACTTGGCTGGATTTTTATAAACTGTAATTTCTATGAACTATGGAGTCTGTGTAGAGACACCTCTATCCTCCATGGTATGAACCTTTGACTCTGGTGACTCTGGTGCGCATATAGTCTGTGGACACGTCATTCTAAATGGTGACTGCTGTACCGATTGGGTCAAGTACTGTTTTACCGACAATTAGTCGACGAAAGTGCTCTCCAACGTATCCGAATAATGGGTAGAGTTGCCCACAAATATCGGTTTGTTGTTGGTACAAAAATCGATAGTCAATCAAATAAAACATATTTTTGTAATAAACATTAACTTTGATAATTATTATATAAGGGGTGTATGAAGTTTCTATTGGTAACTTACTAGAAAGTATTACGAGTATATAGGTCAATACAAAACACACGAACTTTGGTCATAATCTGATATCACATCTAAATCGATTTCAATTCTTGTGAATGTCATACCAATATGCTTTTTTACAATCGCTCACAATCAAGCTTTTAAAAACTTCTGGATTTTGAAGACGAATGTTAACCTCGTAAGAAAATCATTAAGAATTATTTAGCAACTTCAAAATGTTTTGTTGGTAGGTTGCTTTATGATGTGATAACTATAACATTTAGGAAAGCCAAAACTACAAGCCTCGAAAGTACACACAATGAGGTTTGGTGCCACGCTCCTGGGTGAGGACATGTCATTGTTTCAGCGCTTCACCTAAGCCCCATTCGGTCAACGAAATCTTCAACGCGCCCAATGGAGGCGAGAATAAAGAGTCTGAAGGAGAAACTCAGGGCCGAGATTGAACGCAAGGGCAACCCTAACTACAGCGTCTCGTACGACGGCGACTACAGCGAGGAAGTGGACGGCCAGCGCGACTTCTGGCTGGACCCCATCGTGTCCAGGGAGCGGAAGAGGCACAGGCACAAACGGCCCGCGTCCGTGGCGGCCGTCAACGAAACCGTCAAACCTCCCGCCAAAACCAAGAGGAGGCAAAAGGTGACGACGTGCAAGGGCCACAACACGCGGAGCCCGCTGCGCACAGAGCACAAGGAGCAAAAGACGACGGCCAAAAGCAGGCTGTACATGATAAATCCCCTGGACATATTCTACAGGCGGGACCTCGACCAGGACGTGGAGTGGAAATGGGCCCACTGCCAGGACATGATCACGCCGTACCTGACCGGTATAAAGAAGGAGCCCGAGGCGGTGAAGAAAGTCACTGTACGCGATCCGCTCGCTACGAGGTGCATTTGTCGTAAAACTTCGTTTTAAGCATAGTATCTGCGGTCATGATGAATTCTTCGAGTGAATTGTAGCGAAAAATCAATAGTCCATCGTCTTAAGTTTTATTATACAGTAAGATCTTATGATTTATTTAATGATGTTAAGTGAATGCCATTACCAATAGATATCATATCTACAACAGGTTCGTCAAACATTCATCATTCATCATTTCAACCTGTTTGGGTCCACTGCTGAACATAGGGCACAGACTGAGCCACCTTCATCCATCGACTTCCCGCATACTTGCACAGTTCGTCACTCCATCTAGAAGGGGGTCGTCCTGTACTGCGATGGCCAGTACAAGGCTGCCACTCGAGAACCTTTCTTTCCCAACGGTTATCGGTTCTACGAGCTATATGGTCGCAACTAAAACAATTGCAGTATAACACAATAGAAAACATTCATCAAACTGAACTATATTTCGAAATTTTCGTGGTTCGAAGAATATTTACTAATGTAATGATAGGTATATATATTTCTTCTTCTTCTTAGATTAATGGCCTCTCCCTTAAAAGAATTCTGGATAAATCTTTGCAAAAATGTTAAATTAGTGAATAATAATAATTATTATTATTAGGTTCAACAACTTTCTTTTGGGTTGCCATGTTACCAAACTTCAGAAAGTGGGCCAAGTATTTCTAATTTATGTCGGACTTTCGTTTCGTGTCGAACTTGGTACTTGTAAAATATCCTACTGCCCATTAGAGCGTGGATAATCTTTCAACAGTAGACCGCCACAGACGATGGTAAACAGTGGAAACGATGTGTCAGCGTACCACGTTTGGGTTAAGAGACAATTGACAGTTCAAACAAGACAAAGTTCAGAGACGTTGGGTTGTTGGAGCAATAGCCTGTCACCGCCTTGATCCTTTTGCGATCCGTTCCAGATTGTTCCATTTGCTGAGCGTCAACACGACCGATTACACGAAGGAGGATATATTCTCGGTGCTCTACCAAATCAGCAAACTGCAGCTTAGGCTGTTCCAATGGGACGTCATGCCGATGCGTCTCTTGCTGAACACACTGACTAAAGGTAACATGCACATTTTCTTTAACGAAAAAACAAAACTGCCTTCAAATATCTTCCTCTCTATAAATATATTTATTTATTAGATTTTGAAGAGTTTCCCTGTGTATCTCCGGAGGTCAAGATCCGACCAAAAATATTTTCTGAAATCGGTTTGTTGATGGAGTTCTGAGGTAGCAAATATAAAATATAACCGAATTGAGAAGCTCCTCCTTTTCTCAACTCTGTTAAAAATATTCAGCAAAAGTAATAAAGCGGTGTTTAATTCACCGCCGACTTGTGTAAGTCACCTGTCGGCATATTGATGCGCATAGCAGGAATTCTACGTCACATTTCCGCTTCGTGCTTCCACACGGAACGGACGTTACTCTGAGCCGGAGGGCCCATGCCAACCGACCCGGAAGCCATCTTGCAACCGTTGTTGCTATTTCTATTTCTTTTATCTCTTGGTGTGCACTGTTCGCCTCATCGTTGTCGTGTTTCGCGGTCTACGGTTAGGGAAGTCTCAAGCAAGAAGAAAGAAGAAACATTATAGAAGAAAGAAAAAACATTATAGAAGAAAGAAGAAACTTTGCCCGACTTCCGAGCGGATAGTGTTAGTGTAGTGTTGTGCTCGTAGGCAGGTTCCTGTCCGTAAGTAGAATTCTACACACATTTCTCGTCTCAGAGGCGGCATTGTAATTTTTTCCTGTGTGCTTGTTGCATTAGGCGACAGCTAGGTACTCACCCTAGCACACCTAAAGCGCAGGCGATTAAAGGTTAATTTTAGGCACACACCTCCCTGCCGCAAGGTGGGGAGGCCTATTTAGTAAACCACACGCCGGCGGGGCGCAAGCCCCAAAGGCTCAAGCGTCGACACGGGTTCCCTCATAGAGGAATTCCTGCGTCAAGAATGCCCTGAATTATGGGTAAAATATTTGATTTCGCGAGGGAACGACGCATCGTCGTCGAATTTTCAAGCGACAGTCCGGCTTCACCAGCTGCCGCCTCGCCGCCATCTCCTGTGCTCTCTGCGCCAGTCATCGAGTCGCCCTCTGCGACAATTGATACGCCCGCCGAACGAACCCAACGCGCCTTCCGCGCAAACCACTTCGGCACCCATCCGCGCTGTCGTTCCCGACTCACAATCGGACGGCGGCTCAGACATGGAGGTCGAAACGACCCCCGCTAACAACGCGAACGCCGACGGCTTCACCGTCGTCAAATCGCGAAAAAAGGGCAAGAAACGCCCCGCTACCGACAGCGACCCCGAAAGCGAGGCCGCCCCGTCAAACCGTCCCACCGCAACGCCCGCCAAAAAGGTAGCCGCGTCTGCCCAGTCGGAACCGACATTCGCCTCCGAGCGAAAAATCAAGCCACCGCCGCCAATAATAATACAAGATAAGGCAAAGTGGCACCAGGTTTGTTCGTGGTTTGAACGCCACAACATCCGAGACCCCCGGTCCAAGAATACGCATATGGGTATCCGCGTATATCTCGATTCTTCGGACGATTTCCGTCGCGTAACTAAGTACTTGCGCGAAGCTAAGGTAGGTTTCCATACCTACTCACTACCCGAAGAGCGTAAACTTCGGGTCGTAATTAAGGGCGTCCCAAAAGAGTCGGATGTCGATATGGCTAAGGTCGACATCCGCACTCCAGGATACCCTGTTCACGCCGTGCGTCGTCTCAGGCACCCTCGCACCCGTGTCCCTATGGACATGGTCATGGTGGAACTCGATCCTACCCTGGAAGGTAAGGCCATTTTCAACCTTAAGAGGGTCTGTGGGCTCAGTGACTTAATCATCGAGCCCCCACGTAAATCAGGTGTTGTGGCACAGTGTCACAACTGTCAACATTTTGGCCACACGGCCAATAACTGCTTCGCTCACCCAAGGTGCGTCAAATGCACCGGTGACCACGGCACAACCGAGTGCACGAGGCCGAAAGATTGCGCAGATCCACCGGACTGCGTAAATTGTCACACTACCGGCCATCCGGCTAGTTATAGAGGCTGCGCTAAGGCCCCGAAAACTCCCGCGAGAAAATCTCCCGCGAAGTCTACGTTGCCTAAACCCGCGCCCGTTAAATACATTCCCGTGCCCGTACCCGTCGTGAACGCCTGGGCGAAACCCCAGGTGGCCGCGCAGGTAACCGCGCCGGTAATCCCGGTCGCCTCACGACCGATCGCACAACAGCTGCCCGCCTCTCAAACGGTGCCGCGGCCGCAGGTGCAGCCAATTTTCGCGGAAAACAAGGACAACCCATTCGCGCAAATAGCTAACATCTGCAGCTTATTAGATAGAATCAATAGGCAGGACCTCGCCGTATTTTCCGCTAAAATAGCGGCCGCCACATCTGGCCACGAGCGTCTTAGGGCAATTAGCCAACACAAAACGCTTGTGGAAGCCCTTTGGGCTTTTACGAGCCAACCGTAAAAAACAATAGACCGCGCAATAAAACCGCGCTCCGCCGCGTCGTTAATTAGACCCACAAAAACACCTTAATGGGAAGTACAACCGCAGGTAGAACAAAATCTCGGGCTCTGGTTGTTTCGTATTTCAACGCAAACGGCATAAAGGGTCAAAGGGATGAAATCGAGGAATTCCTTCGCGATTATAACGTAGATATTTTCCTAGTGCAAGAGACATTCTTATAAACGGTCCTTGCACTGTTGCCCGCTCGACATTCCAGAGCTAAGACAAATAGAGGCATCCGCGTGTAGGTTAGCGCTCACCGGCCACAGGCCGCTTGTACTAGTCTCAGCCTACCTCTCGGGGAATAGAACCCTCCTTCAAAGCGACCTAGATACGCTTCTTAACTTAGGCCCTTCCGTGATAATTGCAGGAGATCTAAACTGCAAACACGGCTCATGGGACATCAACAGCATCCCAAACAACAACGGAAAGCATCTCTTTAGCTTATCCGATAACCTAAATTTTAGTATAGTCGCTCCCGCGACTCCCACTAGGTATCCTACGGTGGACAACTACCAACACGCGTCACCGAGTGTCCTAGACATAATGTTATTCAGGGAGGTCTCGCTCGACATCGAGTCGATAGAGACAATCCATGAACTAGACTCAGACCACAGGCCCGTCCTGTGTAAACTGGGCCAGAACGCCGGCGCGGTCCCTCCGACCAAATCCGTAGTGGACTGGCATCGTCTTGAGGTCAAACTCAAGGCCTTGGACCCCCAGGACTTAGTCGACCTACCCGAGACGATAGCTACGTTCGATGACGCAAATCGAGCGATAGCGAGTCTCCGCGAAACTATTACTTCCGCAGTCACAGACTCGGAACGGACGGTGAAACTGTCGGGCGACCGACGGTTTAACTTTCCGCCCGACCTGCGACTGCTAATTAGACAGAAAATGCAGCCAAACGCGCCTTCGACCGATACCGATCGGAATCGAACCGAACCCTACTTCGACGCCTTCAGCTAGAAGTCAAAGATCGTGTATCGGAACACCGACGCACAACGTGGGACACTCTCCTAGAGGACATCGAGCCATCGCACACCGCCTACTGGCGGTTGGCCCGCAGTCTGAAAGCAGACCCCCGCGAATCTCTACCGCCGTTAGTTAGACCTAATAGCGCTTCAGTAGCCCTAGATGACTCCGAAAAAGCCGAATGCCTTGCGGACAACCTAGAGCAGCAATGTACGCCATCGCGCGAACACACCGATTCGGTCCACCTAACGGAGGTGGACCGCGTAATCGAGACTAGGGCTGCGCTTCCACCGGAAGGCGAACCTTTAAATTCAGTGACCCCCGAAGAGGTCCAAGATATTATTAAAAATTTAAAACCAAAATCCGCCCCGGGCCCAGATAATATAAGTAATAAGATTCTTAAAGCTCTCCCTGGGCCGCTTATCTGTTTACTGGCGACCATTTTTAATACCCTTCTCTCCAGTTGCCCCTTTCCGGACGACTGGAAGCAAGCCACGGTTATCGGCATTCGCAAGCCGAATAAACCAGCTAATCAGCCCTCTAGCTATCGTCCCTTCAGCCTCCTCAGTTGCCTGGGGAAGCTCTACGAGCGGCTATTGTTAAACAGGCTCAAAGAGCACGTATTTTCCAACGGCCTTCTGCCGACGGAACAATTCGGCTTTCGAGCTAGACACTCTTGTCCCGATCAGTTATACCGCCTAACGGAGCACATCCTAAAAGGCCTTAACCACCCCAAACACATTAGTACAGGGGCTCTCTTCTTCGATGTCGCAAAAGCATTCGACAAAGTCTGGCACGACGGCTTGCTTTACACACTCCAAGTGCCAGATAGACTCGTACACACCATCCGGGCCTTTTTGTTGAACCGCTCTTTTCGATATCGAGTCGAGGGCACTCTCTCCACAAGCCGCCGCCTCACGGCCGGCGTACCACAAGGCTCCTGCCTCTCACCCTTGCTATTTACGCTCTACACGAGCGACATACCTAGAGACCCCCACGTCAATCTCGCGCTTTTCGCGGATGACACGGCGCTCTTTTACTCAGATCGCAACCTCAGTCAATTAACAACTCGACTCCAAAGCGCCGCCGACCGCCTCGGCGATTGGTTCCGCAAATGGAGAATCGATATTAATCCAGAAAAAAGTGTGGCGATTCACTTCACTCGTAGCACCCCCAACCCCCATCCGCCACACCGTTACAAAGGTCCTCGCCAGTACAGAAATTTGGGGCAAATATCACTATATGGCCAAACTCTCCCCTGGGAGAAAACGGTCAAATATTTAGGAGTCTCTTTCGACTCGCGTATGACTTTCACTATGCACATCAATCAAGTCCGAAATAAAGCCGCGTTCGTCTCCGGCCGGCTACACAATTTAACGAATAAGCATAGTAAAATGCCCTTAAGGCACAAACTACTGTTATATAAAGCTTGCGTAAGGCCAATCCCCACGCTTGCATGATCATCGCACATATGAATCCTACGCGCATTAACAAATTGCAAGTAGTTCAAAGTAAGTTTATCCGCCGCGCAACCGGTGCGCAATGGTATCAGCGCAACGTCGACCTGCACAGCGATTGCAGACTCCCGACGATTCGCGCACATTTTAAAGATTTGACAAAACGGTTCTTCGATAGAGCCCAGCATCATCCCAACCCTCTGGTGGTAAGCGCAGCAAACTACCAACCGGACACAAACGCTAACGTAAACAAGCGTCGCCCGCGAAACGTCCTCATCGACCCGGTCGACGAAGAGGACTTAGATACGATGGACCCACCGCCGGGGGTCCCGCCGGATAACACTACACCCACAGTTAGTGTAACAACAATCACACCAGTTCGCCCTCGCCTCCGAGCACGGCGAGACCCACACAACGCGTACACAAGGTACACCCGCGTTCCGGGGCGGTTCTCACCGCTCCCAGCCACCGATTAGCTAAATGCACAGTCGACGGCCGTCGGGGTCTCGGTTCGAACCGGCGACCTCGACGGCCCTTAGATGACACACCATAGTAGTTAAACGCACGCATGAGCACATGCGCGACCCTACCCATAGCGGAGGGTCCAAACCCGTGGGTTCTGGCTAGCCCACCGGTTCTGCGTCCGATGAAGCTTTAATAGTCTCGGGACTGAAAGCAAAAACATCAGTTAATACAAGATACAAGATACAAGAGTTCTATGTGCCTTGGGAGAAGTCCAGGTCTTACAGTAAACTGCTATTATGATTTTCATGTGAACAGTTCGTCACTGATCTTGACTATCTTCTTCAACTCCAATAACTTAAAAATCATAAGTGTGTTTAGTGCTTGCGTGAGAGAAGGTTTTGTATATCAATCTTAAACAACCTAATTATTATTATCAAAAAAGTTGGTTGTATATTGTATTTATTGTACGTCGTATATCATACTGTCTCTAAAGTAACACCTGTATTCATTCAACCAGACTCGGAACATCTCTTGTTTTTCTTCTCTTTCTTGTTTTTCTCTCGGAACATCTTTATAACGTCTCTTGTTAAAATCGGAACTAAGCAATTCAAGCCAATTACTTAAAGAATACTCAATCAATCTCCGGAGACAACTGATCCGGAGCCATATACATAGATCGGCACACACTCATAAATGTACATGAACTTTGTTGATTCTTGTCTGCGTACAGGCCACGTGCACACCTTCAGGAATTTGAAGCGCGGAATGAAGGCTCTGTTCGAAAAATGGCGCCTAGCCCTGGACAACACGACGAACATATTGCAAAGCACCCGAATCGTGCGGCCTCCGTGCACTGTGACGTCACGGTACAGCGGTATGTATCCTCACCTCAACTGGCTCAACCAGTCAGCCCTTCAGCTAGCCCTGGCGAATGGAGTGAGCCCGTCAATTGTATCATGTCAGCTGCAGCACCGCATCATCTGGCCAGAGCTGTTCTAATTTGTCTGGTATAAGCCTATCAACTCGTCGAAACGTGACAGCCATCCAAAGCCAGGATTGATGGTCACATCCGTGGTTTTAGACGTTCATTATTATTTTTGATATCTGAAGACGAGCGAACAGGTTTACCTTATGCTATGTGATTGTATATATTGTGTATCCGAGTTATAGACAACCGACCTTTAAAAGTGTGACCCAATAGACGAAACGCATAAGTATAATATTCGTTTTTAGCATTTGAAGCATTGCTTGGGCAATAATCTTCAGGACATGTATGCCGAAAACTTGACTTCGATTCCCATAGCGGCGAAAAACTTTTCGTAATTTTTTCTACAAACTTTAATGCTTAATTAATACAAATTTTAATTAAATTTATGTGTAGAGTTTAGCAGTATAAACATTTAAATTTCTAAAAAGCAGTGGCGACATCTCTTGTTCCATTGATCGTTGTAAAACGATATTCGAAATTGTTTGTATGCTGGAAAGGAAATAGCAATGGATGCGCCCAGCATTGCTTCAAATGCTATAAATCAATGCAGATAAAAGACGTTAAGATTTTCTTCGGTGTGGCAATCAGCCTTTTAACTTAGTGGCAAAAGCGTCAGGCCGCGAATGCCGAAGACGTGGGTTCGATTCCTACTGCGACGGAAAACTTTTCGTACTTTTTTCTACTAATTTCAATGTTAAATCTTAAGTGCAGAGATTATCACGATAAAATCTAAAGCAATGTATAAGATCTTTAAAGTTAATAAATCTTCATTCAGGTTCAACAAAATCGCAGAAGGTGTCATGGATGATCAAAGACTGGACCGCAAAGTCGACAACACCATGCATTTATCGGGATGGGTGCGACGAAAGAAAATAATAAAAAAAAAAACATGTATATTTTTTACTTTCTTTTTAAATTCATTGTTAACATCCCAACATAAGGCAAAACAAAAGGTAAACTTAATACTAATAAGCATTTTCTTCTAGTCAACCCTGGGAATAGTGAACATTTGACGTGGGTGGAAACCAAAAATCCAAAATACAGTTTTAAAAATAAAAGAAGAGGTTCATTTTATTAATTTAATTTACACAAACATACTAGATACTATAAACTACGGTATTGAATAAATCAATATTCCAAAAATATTAAATTTTAGTGTGCCCCAACCAACCCCTAAATCCGAATACAGTTGTACGAAGTTCTTAGTAAATGTAGCCTAATTACTTTAAAGTATACATGAGAACTTTTATCATAAGGGGGCTTTTGCCATAATTGCCACGCGTGGTGAACGGGCAACCGCAGTTTTTCTAGACACCTTGTATCTAACGCTGCCCGTTTTTGGCATGAGTGTTTAGGGTCTGGGCAGTCTGAATTTAAATTAAATCAGGAAGTTTCTATGGGACGCACAGGTAATTTGTTCCGGATCTAGGTATTTAGTCCAAGGAGGGTTGACGTCATCCATTCGGTCAGTCGTAAAAAAGGCGGAACTAAGAATTTGATTTGACACGTTGTGTCGTCCCCATAAAATTGAGATAAGAACAGAAGAAAGAAGAAGATGAATAAATTGCAGAGGGCCTGGCCGTTCATTTTTCAAAGCCTTTCTATTTCATATAATTGTCGCATAATATGATTAGTAAGATCTCATTGGATAATAAGTTCTAGGTTTTATCTTATCCTTTAAACGAGCAATTCTTGTATATATACACATATATATATATATATATATATATATATATATATAATTGGAATCTCGGAAACGGCTCCGGCGATTTTCTTGAAATTTAGTATGTGCGTAGATTCGGGGGTGAAAAATCGATCTGACTAGGTTTCATTTTTAGAAAATGTCCTATTATCCCTGTTTTCAGGGAATGAAAAATATAATTCGAATATGACGGTAAATTTCGCCGCAAGAGTAAATGTCAAAATAGCTCGGTCGGTAATCTAGCGGCCCCAAAACAGACGGCCGTGGTTCGCGTCACGATCATTTACACATTTATTTTTTTACTTTTTTTTCGATTCTAGATCATTGCTTTCTTTAGTTTTAATTTTTTGTCGATTTGTTATTTTGTTATTTTTTTCCCTTTTTTTTAAAGTTCTTTCTTTTGTGAAAAACATCAGTTCATATTTTCTTATTATTACGTCGGTAAGATCGAAAAATATTACTCAGTAATTTGTATCTAAATGTAATTTCCAAAACTCACGATTTACCAAAAAAAAAACAAACCGAGCAAAGCTCGGCCCTCCGGGTACTACAATTGTGATAAGATCAATATCGTTAGCATGATAGCTAAGACCTAGAATCACGCAGTAGCATCTCCTGTTGCACGAATATAGAGGCTTGTGCTGCAAACTATCTTTATTACGTTCAATGGCCGGCGGTATTCACTTAACATCAGGTGAACCGTCTGACCGCTTGGCAACTCTTCACATAAAAAGAAGGTGTAAAAACTATGGAAATAAAAATCCAGTGAGAGGTAACGAGCTGTCATTATCTATTGCCTCAAGAATTAAAGCTCTGAAGATGAGTGTTGTTTATTTAGCGATCAACAGAAAACTAACGCCTAACGCATAGTTTCTTATTAACCTAACCATTAACAAAACACAGTTTTCAGCATACATCAACTATGGTTTGCCGTGTCTGCTAACGATTAACACCAAACAGTTGCGTTTACCACTATCATAGTTATCACTTATTACTGACCCGAGCGTTGAAAGAACTCGTTAGTTGAGGAATAAACATATTCGTGGTTATCTTGTAACAGGTTCCAGTAAAGGTTTTGCTCTTGAATTGACGTTTTGGTAAACTTACTCCAAGCGATCATAGCTGGTAAACGCACTAGCTTAGCCAAAGACTGTATAAGATGTTTAAAGTTAATTCACTCTCGGATCACTACACCATTCTTCTTCTATCCGACAGACTTGGGAGGGTTTCTCTGTATTCCACCAGCCTTCCTATGTTCTGGTTATCCAGCAGTATTTCCTTCTGCGGCCCGTATCCATATTTCTGCGGGACCTCCCTGTAACCTATTAGCTTCTTTATCGGCAGCGGCCGTAGGCTCCTGTTTGTGTAAAGGTAAAAGTTTATCGGATTCATCTTGTCCATCTCCTTTGGGACTTTTATCACGATGGGGTCCATTGCCAACGACGAATGCAACAGAATCAAGAACAATAAGAAGGGCATAATTGAAAGCAACTTATTAATTGTACAAAGTAAATGTTTACGACAATGTCAATTTAACTCCTAAAATAGATTTTCAGAATAACTTCGTATACATCGGAAAACGTTTCGACATTGAATTTTGTTATACAGCATTGTTATCGCTTTTAAAATAAACAATAAAAATCACAATTAAATTTCACTTCCTCATAGCTAGGGCGAGGAATTGTGGTAATAAAACCAACAATGATTAGTATAGGAGAAAAATTTATATATAACCTACTCGATTCCACGTCTGCATTTATTCATTCGACTAAACCAGGAAACGTTTGAAAAGAAATTTTCCTGAAGGGTGAAATATAAAAGAAGGATTTTTTTATGTGAAAAGTTGTCAAGCGAGCAGATGGTTCACTTGATGTTAAGTGAATACCACCGCCCATGGACATCTGCTACACTAACTGTTTGCAGATGCGTTGACAACCTTTTGAAAATTGGGCTCCGGCTACCTCACTCACCAGACGAAACGCGAAAGTAGGTAGTTATACTTCCACTTTACGAGGATGTGTTAAGTTTCTCGTCAGATGCCTGAATTTTCTTAGACTGCCTTCGAAATTGTTTGTATGCTGGAAAGCATATAACAATAGACATGTCAAGCATCGCTTCAAATGAAAAAAAAAAAACATTGTAGATAAACGACGTTAAGATTTTCGTCGGTGTGGCAATCAGCCGTTTAGCTTAGTTGGCTAAAGCGTCAGGCCGCGAATGCCGAAGACATGGGTTCGATTCCCGCAGCTGCGACAATCTTTTCATACTTTTTCTACAAATATTAAAATTATTAAAGGACAAATTATCAAATTATCCATAATTGATCATCCACATTATCTCTTATTCATCCTGTCATTTGTAAAGATTATGAATACTCGTAACGTGACGTGATGAGTATCAATATATAAATAAATGTTATATAAATCATTTATTAGATAAGCTTGATACGAGTGTCTATAAAATAACGCACAAGCACCAATCTTTTATTATTAGTTCACAAATGTGCTAAAACGAATATATTACCAAAAACAAATTCTGAGAATTCATAATAACAATAAGATTTTTTTCCACTGCTTCCCTTCTACGTTGTTAATGTGCAGCCTTTCCCACTTCCGTTTTCTTAATCGAGCTGTATTTTTCTAGATTATTCTAGATTTAGTTTTCTTAAGGATTTTTCGAGATTATTCTAAAGGGCGTCTGTCGCTTTCGGGTAATGGCTCGTCGAAATTATACCGTTCTGCTACAGTTGGCAGGCTGGCGTAGTAGTTCGGCGAGCTCATGCTGAACCGCGGTCTCGTTGGTCTAACTGTCTTCTGGGTCGGCGCCGGCCGCTCCTCGCTCTCCACGTCCGAGAGTATGTGCGTTTCGCCGCCTTCGTATTTCAACCCGGCTGTAGTCGGTCGTTTCACAATAATAGCCCTGTTAGGATTCCCCTTCGATCGATCGTTGCTCACGTCGAGTTTCGGCCGCCGTCCGAATTGTTTGGTGCGCGAAGTGTTCGCGTCGTTGTTAGTCTCGATTTTGTACCGGAACTTTGTGTTTCGCGACACTTTCGGATTGTTTGCTACGGTTACGAATACGCTTTCGTCCCTCGACGGGGCGACGTAATACTCGTAGCTGTCATTCGTCCTCGCGCCGAGTTCCGTTTCCTCCATCTCAAAGTCGTCAACGACGACGCCGCTTGGCGTTGTCTCCGCTGAATTGTCCCTGCTCTTCTTGACTTTACTCTTTGGTTTCGTCTGTCTCATCGGTGGTTTCTTCGTCGTCACGTATAGTGTAGTTTCGATGTGTTCCACGATGCGTTCGTTCGACGGGTCGTTGTATTTGCTCTTTTGAGCGATTTCTTTGCGCTTCTTGTTGAGTTTGAAGCGCAAGAATTCGTCGGCCAGTTCCTTGAGCACCCTCTCTTTGATTTCCCTCGCGAGTTTGTCTATGTTCAGTTTATCCGCGGCTAAAACCTTCCTACCTTGGCTTCTCTGAATGTGGGCTACGCGGTCGGGGACTGCTGTTGTGTCGCGATAGTTCACGATCATATATTCTGGATAGTTAACCGCTTCGCCATATTCTTCATTGGCTGCGTCGTTTGTTTTACCCAGTTGTGACGCTGGGTTCTCCTTTTGACCAGGTAAACTGACAGTGACAGGGATCAACTTCTTCGCAACATCCTTCAAGTCATCCAAGTGGGCGGCAAAAAAAATATAACCCTGCACAAAGTTTGTGGCAACGGCTAAGTAGTCTGGAATAAAGGATATTATTGTTATTTATTCAGTCCGTTACATGAGGTTGGAATAAATTACTCAATAAAAATATATTGTATGATTTTGCTTAGAAATTACTGTGATTGTCTCTTGTTGGATTTTGTAATAACATACATAACTTCTTAGTAAGTAGACAAGAAGGAAAAATTTCTCGCCAATGAAATGTAAGTATCATTAATGAATTTTTGTTAGAGTCAACTATTATAACAAATCCTTACTAACATCTGTCAGTTTTACAAGTCGTGTTGATTAAAATTGAATTTTGGGTTAACGGGTGATTAAGGAGAGGTTAAAGGAGGAGGGCATCCCACCCAAGGAAAAGTAGGGAAATCCCGTAATGCCTCAGCTGAGGACTTAAGGACTGTATACTGTCCGACCAATAGCCTTTTCTGTACAGAAGCTATTAAGCCAGAGTCCACAACGGGAAATCACTGCGGATTGGCAGTCTTCGTATAACTTCCTGAAGAACGATACCAAAAATATGTTTCAACTATTGCATTTTAGCCGGGGAATCAGGGTCTTATGCGGAAACATATGTCTACAAAACTTGACTCTCCAAACTCACACAGTGTAGAAGCGTACGGTAGCAAAATCATTGTACACGTAACTCCGATATCAATCACATTTCATGATGACCGTTCATAAGTTACCAACTAATTTTCGACTGCTATCAAGACTCTTTCGCGTACGGACATCGCCAATGTCTCTGGCGTACCGAGCGTGCATACATTTTAATCCGTCGCCATATTTACGTTACGCTCTGCGCACAATCGGAAAATTATGCGGTTTCGTAATGTGGTTTTATTGGTTATTGAATTTAGTGTAGTGCTTGATGTGTGAACGCCAGTACTACACTATAAGGCGTGTGTGCACTATAGCAGTGTTGGTTCATCTGACCACAACTGACACTTTGCATAAAAATCTCTATTTTAGGTCAATATAAAAATCAAGCACTCACCGCGTCAGCAAGAAGTTGAATAACGTTAGTTAAGTGGGCTCCGGATACCTTTTTTTTTGGGCTTGATGAGCCACTGTTGGCCTTAGGAGCCTTTACAGTTTCGCCGGACTTGTCCCCGGATACCTCACTGTTCATACGATATGCCCGTTCGCGCAGTAGCACAAGTTACTGCGTATTATGTAGCATAGCATATAGAACTATAGCTAAACAATGTGGTGTATGTTGCTGAATACAACATGGGGGATGCTCTAAGTTTGGTACCTGCTTTTGATTTCAAGCATTGTTACTAACTTGTTGGTTGGAAGTCCACTATTAAACGCTCTTGTGGGATGATTGTTATTGCACAAAAAGATTTTTTTTTATGTGAAAAGTTGCCAAGCAAGCAGACGGTTCACCTGATGTTAAGTGTATACCGCCGCCCATTGACATCTGCTACACTCGACTCGGTTGCAGATGCGTTGACAACAGAAAGAAAGAAACAAGAGAAAAAGATGATCAGTAATAACTCTATGACTAAAACTTTTAAAACAGTAACCAACAACAAGGAACTACCAAGTATCAATATCCTTTGAGATCATCACAATAACTCTCGATAGTCTTATAAGAGAACCAAGTACTCTTTAGGTTTTTTCCAGTACTGAGAAGCGTAACACTATCTTCTTTTCTTGAATAAACAGATCATGACGCATCATAATCAAAAGAGATCAGCATAATCATAATGGTCAGAAATATCTTGCCAGCTTTTATAGTATTATGCTTTAATGATATTTTGGTTATAATATCATTATTTATTCATCGAAAAATTTATCATTATTATTTATGTTTGTTTACGATTTTGCGAGGTGCGTACTGCGTATCCAACGACAGACACGGATAAAAGTCCATATAATATGTTATAGTTCAGTTTAGTTTTACTAAAGAATTAGTTTATGCACGCGTCTTCATCCCATTTAGTAAAGGAATGATTTGTAAACTTAATTGACATAATTATATTCATTATAAACAACTATATTAACGTGATAACGATATTTAACATACATGAAAATTTAAATTTAATTCTTGTTTTAATCTATATAGTTTTGAAATCTATTCGGTATATATAGACGGTTCAGTATCTATTGGAGTTAATCCTTCAGACAGACAGACAGTACGATAATTATTTCTCGGCTAGTATTTCATTAACAATATGATGTAATAATATTTAAATTAATTATATGTTTATTAGTTATTAAATTAATAGAGAATGATTGAACTGTTGCAGTATCTGCTGTGGTCGCTGCGAGGTGACTCACTTTCTCTTGTCACGAAAATGGAAGAAGAAAAGAGGAGTGAGGGAGAAATGAGAAGAGAAGTCGACGTGTGACCATTTAATCGTCAGTCTATGATACAAAATTGTTCTTCAGCTCGTACTTTGTCCGAAACATGTCTAAGTCGATCGCTTGGTTGTGGGCACGGGTTGAGTTCTAATTCGATTTCGTCTCGTTCACGCTTCTCGCCACTCGAACGTTCTCCGGGTATAGTTCTGTAAAAAATGACAATTAGTAGTACTAATAGTGGAAGAAAGAGAGAGAAACTATATAGAAATAGCAGAAGAAGTACAGAGAAAAATGCAATTGCTTCTGCGTGGGTCAGGTTTCTTCGACAGTTTGTAGTCAAAATTTTAAAATACTCTAACGCCTGGTACCTAAATTGTAATTTGAAATCCATTTGACAGCCGATTAGTTGACATCTACGATGATCTGTGTTTCAGAAACCGGGCGTAAATGTTTATTGTTTAGAAAGAATTTTGTTAGGACCAGTTGAACATTATTAACTGTATACAAGGTGGCTTTTCTAAGTGTATCCATTTTTTTATTAAATTCTAGACATTAATAATGTGATATTAAATACGGTAAATATTTGAAATCACTCGGCAATTTTAAAAAAACCACTCTGTATGTTGGTCTAGTAAAAAAAACTGCATCAAGATCCGTTGCGTTGTTTTAAAGATCCAAGCATATATACGGACAGACAGACAGTGGGATGACTTTGTTTTATACTATGTAATGATAGGACATATTATTGTTATCACTCACCTACGAAAGGTATCTTGTTTTGAACAGTAACGCTTTTCAGTCTCATTGTCTTCTCTGTTTATATATTTAATCGTTTTTCGGTTTTGTTTCTTTGTTAATAAAAATGTACTTCTTCATGTTGGCCATTTATCGTCGGAAGTTTTCCATTTCACCTTATGTTTCATGAACCCCTAGTAATCGACTATTAAGTTTACGAGTTTCAGTAACAATAATAAAATTAGTTTCTTATTAGGGCTCCGTACTCAAAGGGTAAAACGGGACCCTATTACTAGGACTCCGCTGTCTGTCTATCCGCCTGTCACCGGGCTGTATCTCATGAACTGTCCTAGTTAGACAGTTCAAGCTTTCACAGATCATGTATTTCTGTTGCTGCTATAATACAAGTACTAAAAAAGCAGAATAAAAATATTTAAGTGGGGCTCATTATTTTTTTTTTGCCGTTTTTACAGATAATGGTACGGAACGCCTCGTGCGCGAGTCCGACACGCGCTTGAGCGGTTTTCTGCTACGGACAAGCGTTGTCCAACGGCTGGAACTTTATACCGTCCTACTTTATTTTCTATTAACGTTACCGTAAGCCAGCTCTCTGCCCAGACGTGGGGAAAACTGGACGGTGCGTCCCAGCCGCGGCGAGAAGTACTCCGATCTGATGTCCACGCGCTCACGGCTGGGTCTGCTGGCAACAATAACATAGTTCCTGAATGACATTTGTAAATAACAGGACGAAATACTTTTCGCCGCTGCGAGAATCGAACCCACCACTTGCGGATACGGGCCGAGACGATTAATGTCCGGTTCCTATATTCAACGAACGACCGTTAAATAGGGCAGGTCCGTCCGGGTAAGTACCATGACCTCACAGAAGTCCGGCGTAAAGTATAAGTGTTGCACTTCTGCGTTTCGTCTGGTGAGTGAGGTAGCCGGGACCCACTTAATTTAAAGGTGGCAACGCAGGCAACCCTATTGGTGTTGTGAATGTCCATGTGCGGCGGTTCTCACTTAACACCAGGTGAACCGCCAGCTCGTTTGCGGCTATATCACATACAAAAAAAAGGTGGTACCAACATTTCCTGGTCAGGTGTGGCCACGGTGTCCGAACCCAGCCTCCTGCCCAGGCGAGGCGTGAACTCAACATTCTCGTAGCTCCTCTTCTCTTCGCTCCTCTCCAGGCTCCTCCCCAGCTTCGGCGTGAAGATGACCTTCTTGATAACTAAGTGAGCGGACAAGACCACTTTGTACTGTCGAAAGTAAGTTTTCTACCGACTTCAAAGAGGAGGTTATCAATTCAATTCGGTTGCATTTCGAAGTTATACTTCTTTTGGAGCGTTTGTAAAAGTAGGAGAATAATTTTTTTTATGATGCGACAGCCAAATAGCGACACGATCAAGTTGTTTGCGACCAACTTCACGGCATTACTTTGGCGACCAATAACAACTTTTTAATATTTACCTATAAATCCATCTATTCATTTATGAACCGACTAGCTTTTCGCCCTCGGCTTCGCTCGCGTTGAAGCCCTTAATTAAATATCTTTCAACACTTTTTTCCAATAAAAAAGTAGCCTATGTCCTTTCTCAGGCTCTAGACATTCTATGTACCAAATTTCATTTAAATCGGTTCAGTAGTTTTGGAGTGAAAGTGAGAGAGACACGACAGACAGAGTTACTTTCGCATTTATAATATAAGTATGGATTTTGAGCTAGGCTACCACGTGGTCCAATATTAATTCATAGAACATACATAGGGAAACATATGTATATACAGTATATATAGAGACATATATATAAATAAACATATATTCAAAATGATAAGTGAGTGTCATATTAGATGTTCTTGTTTAGAGGAAAGTTGTAGACGTAAATTTATACATATTTACCCATGGACTGCAGGCGTGGGTTTTTCGTCTGTATGATTCCAATCTATTAACGTATCCACTCCGAATTTAATCCGAATCCGTTCAGCTATTGTCTAGTGAAGAAGTAACTATGAAGTTTCATATCAAATCAATCAATCAATCAATTAGCCTTTTGCAGTCTACTGCTAGGCCTCCCCAAGAGTATACCACACAGTACGATCTTCCGCTTTCCTCATCCAGCTACTACCAGCAACCTTTCTCAGGTCATCGGTCCACCTGGCAGGGGGACGTCCGACACTACGTTTTCCGAAGTTTCATATAACAAACTGTTTTAGTCAACCCACAGATTGTGATATGTTTATTCGCTGTGTTTTTGACTTCTTAATACGAAAATGTTTAATTTGACAACTGCTTCAACTACACATATTGCGATAGCTTAGTGTCCGGGCGCTTGCTTTTATTTCAATGTACTTGTGCAACCTGAGTTCGAATCTCGGTGCCGGCACAAACGAAATTGTTACTTTTAAGTGAATTTTATTGTGAATTAAGCCCAATTTGCAAAAGGTTGTCAACACATCTCCCTCGGGTGTGGCAGATGTCCACGGGCGGCGGTATTCACTTAACATCAGGTGAACCGTCTGCTCGTTTGACAACTTTTCTCATTAAAAAAAACTAATCAAGTGCTCAGCGGTGAAGGAAAACATCCTGAGGAGACCTGCATATTTTTGAAATAAGAACAAAATAATATTCCGAAGATATGTGAAGTCAATCTAGCAAGTGGACTATGCCCTAGTACTCTATTTATTATATAGAGGAGGATAGGCCCGGCAGTGGGACATACAATCTCTCTTTACTATAGTGGAGGCCTAGGCCCAGCAGTGGGACATATAATTATAGGAATTTTGCTTACGCACCTTTAGGAGCCTCGTCCACGCGTGGCTCGTAGTATGGCAGCTGGTCGTAGTAGTATTTCAGGGTGTCCGCTGCCTCCAAGAGCCTCAGGAGTTTTTGCCTGGGTGACATTTAATTCATCAGCTGGCGTCGCAACTTAGCCGGGTAACTTAAGCCAGTATGAATCGACTTTGCAAACGGGAGACTTTCGAGACAATCTGACTTAGATCATGGGCAATATAGGACTTTTTTCAAAGCATTGCCTTTAATGTATGTTAACATTCCTGTGTTGCAAGAGCGTTTTACAAATGTAAATTTAGCTTAGACCAACACCGAGATCCGAAATAATTGTCTGCTGGTCACACAAACACTTGTCCTGTGTGGGAATCGAACTCACGACCCCCGAGGCCGAAGTCGTCTTGAGAAATGCGCCATGGAGTCAGTCTAGTAAGACTGACGCCCGGTTAAACTCTTTGAAATGATCACTCTGATCATTAACAAGATCGTTCTGGTCAATTCAGAGAGTTTAACCATCCTTTGGCAACTAAAATGACATTTGAAAAGCCATTGGACAGCTGATTAGTTAACATCTACGATGATCAGTGTTTCAGAAACCGGACGTGAGGCTTGCAACGACACCGATGTACGAGAACTGCATCGACCAAAAGTGCAGCTTTACACAATTTTCAACTGTGGTAGTGGCATGCAGAATGTTTTTACTGTTGCACGAATGGGCAGGATCAACACCATCAAGGATCAAGCCACGTCCTCAAAGAAGACCGGCGTGACGTAGCCTTTCGTCTGTTGACTGGGGTAAACAAGACCGACCGACTTTTTAGAAGGTTGTCAAAGAATCTTCAACAAAAGATGTCTATGGGCGGCGGTAATCGTTTAACATCAGATGAACTGGCTGTTGGCCTGACAACTTTACGGAAAAAAGTTATGGGCTTTGAGTGTAAGTAATTATACTTCTCCTTCCCAACCATCATGTGAGTGAGGTGCGATTGATGACCTTGAACGGGGCTCACACTAAGTCCTTCTCTTAACTCTCTTAACAGAATGGAACAGCATAGCATAGATTATGACAACATAAAAACAAGATCGGCTTAGAGTGGAAGTAAAAGTATAACACTTTTCCTTCCGCAGGTGAGTGAGGTGCGATGGATGACCTTGAACTATGCTCAATCTCAGCCCTTTCTCAACGCGTAATAGAATAGGACAGTATGACTCACCCGTTGTCCTCTGCTGCCAGACTCAGGGACCTTTTTCCGAGGCGGGGTCCAAACCACAAGCCGGTTCTGTCGCTGTGTGCACCCCTGTCCAGCGTGTCCTCCTGTGAAGCGAACGCATATGAAACACCCTGTATAGAAGCAGGTAGATATCGCAACGGCTTGAAAACCGCCTCTCAACCGGCGAAGGAGTATTTATACTTTTTCGCTTCGCCCGAAGATGGCAGACGGATTTCCTCCGGCGAAGGTCGGCAGGGCTGCCACCCCGTTCTTGTTGAGGATGTTCAGGAGTGTTTGCTCATCCGCCATTTTCTTTTATAGAAACAAACAAAGTACATACATTTTCACGCGAACTGTACATTTGCAATATTTTTCAACCGTCTTAAAAAAGGCAGGAGGTTGTTTTTACGTTTTTCAGAGCATTTACATTGTTACCTCAGAGCTTCGTGGTTTGTGGACCATTTTTAATTTTTTTTTTGCATTGGATCCGGCATAGCTCCCATGTCCATGAAATCCACACAGTAAAAAATGTACAGGTAGTTTAATATTTGAAGTCGGTTTTGTTTTTACAAATAAAAGCGTACTTGTATAATTATTTAGTATCGGTTTGTTTTGTATATATATATATATATATATATATATACTTTATATATATAACATATATATATATATATATACAAGAATTGCTCGTTTAAAGGATTAGTACCCGGAGAACCGAGCTTAGTAATGAAACATGCATAATACTTTTCGATCTTACCGACGTAATAATAAGAAAATACGAACTGGTGTTTTTTTTTAAAAAAAGGGAAATAAATAACAAAATAACAAATCGACAAAAAATAAAAAAATAAAGAAAGCAATGATCTGGAATCGAAAAAAAAGTAAAAAAATAAGTGTGTAAATGATCGTGATACGAACCGCGGCCGTCTGTTTTGGGGCCGCCCGATTACCGACCGAGCTGTTATCGAATATATTCATATTCGAATGATATTTTTCATTCCCTGAAAACAGGGATAAAAGAACATTTTCTTAAAATGAAACCTAGCTAGATCGACTAAGATTATTATACAAGTACGCTTTTTTTTATTACAATTTTATGATTATTTTTTTTTCAAATTCAATTTAAATTGAAATATATTTATTCAATATAGAAGCATTTCACTTACTAATTGACTGTCCAAAAAACACTACTACCGGTTCGGAATAAAAGGCACTGACCTGAGAAAAGCCGGCGAAAGAAACTCAGCTGAACAATTTTTTAAAACATAATTTAACAAAAAAATAACAAATATGTAAACAATGTAAATTCTACTTGAAAGAGCCTGGAGTGATCAATTCATATCAGAGTGTGTTATCATTTAAATAATCACTAATACTATAATAGCCTTTAACACACAAACGTTCCTTTACAAGTTTTTTGAATTTAGCAACTGATTCACTTTGATTGTTTTGTGGGATTTTTTGTAAAAACGTATACATTGACCCATAAAAGATTTACTTTCTACGCAATCTAGATGAGGCTAGAATTGATTTGTTTGTTCCTAGTATTTATATAATGTACGTTACTAAATCTTGAAGATATTTTAATTTGTCGATTTTTTATTAATTAATATAGTTAAATTTTAAAAATGTGCAGTATAGTTAAATTTGTATAGTGCTATCTCCGCACTTTAGGTGAAACATTGAAATTTTTAGAAAAACTGTTTGAAAAATCTTTTCTGCTGTAAAGGATATAACAATAGATGCCGCAAGTATTGCATAAAATAAAAAAAAATACTATAATAAAAAAAAAGACGTTAAGAGTTTTTCGGTGTGGCAAACGGCCGTTTGGCTTAGTGGTTAAAGATTACCGCAGCGGTGGATATCTTTTCATCCACTTTTTCTACAGTTTTTAATGTACAGTCAAATCAAATCAAATCCATGGGGTATCGACTGTAATTTTTTTAAATCTACCACCGTTTCGTAATGAGGTTTCTCTAACGAAGTAGAGGCGAAAGACACTTAGTGGGTTATCTCGCACTGCCTAAATACTTAAATCCAAGTAATCACATATACCTCACCTTAATTTCTTCGCATGACGTCGAAACGATGCTATGGAGGTTGAATATGACGAAACATAATAGGAAATCTTTTAAGAAAGTAAACATTTTTCTACGCGCCTATTTTAAACTATGCTTAGTTTTGGAAACTTAGCTGGTGCTTGTTCAGTGCCGTCGCTCGGTTCACTGAAAAAAGCTTTTCGGCGCAACCTTTATATACCACCCTGAAACGTAAGGGATGTTAATGAAAAGGGGAGGTTGGGGTGAGGATTTTTCCAACGAATACTTGTAAATAGGAAATAGTTCCGAAGCATTATTAGTAACATGGTTGTTAGTTAGAAACGGATTTAAAAGTACACAAATCCACATCTACACGAAAAGAATGAATGGGAATTTTGTTTTTTTGTTTGTATGAATAACGTTCGGAGGCACTATATACCTATATCTGAAAATTTTTCCATTCTCTCAAAAACACGAGTTCTCCGTACGAGTACGTACTATTACTCCAAACAGACGACGTAGGTTGTCCATTTGAAATAATTATTCTGTGTTAGACGTTTAGCTTAGTGGCTAATTCCCAGACGCGTGATTCTGAGAACGCGGGTTCGATACCCGCGGTGGCGTAAAAGTTTTCATCCATTTTTTTTTAAGTGCTGACTTTATACGACTTAATTATAAAGCGGTGATGGAAAATATCTTCATGAAAGCAAAATATCTCGAAGATCGCATCCGCGGTGGAGTCGCGTGGTTAACTATGCCCTAATACCCTCCATATAGAGGAGAACTCTGCTCAAAGTGGGACATATGTAGTCCTTTACCTTACTTGTATAAACAAATAAATTATTACGAGAACAAAAAAAAAACAGCTATGACTGGAGTGAAAAATTTCATTTACATTTGCTTTTTCTATGTATTATAGCAACATTGATTGTATATTTAATTTTGCCTTCGAGCCTGAAGACCATTTCCCCCCGAGCGCCCCTATTTCAAGAAATTAGCGGCAAATTGAGACAAATTGTGGAAATCCGATGATTGCATTACTTCCACGATCCGTCGATACCCACCGGCTACAGTGAGCTATCAATAGCAGACCATTACTCTTCCTTTGTCTCTGAACGTCGACGAAATGAATTTACAAGTCTGTCGTGTCGATTAACTCCGGTAGACACACGCTGTAGGCGGCCGCTTAGTGGTGTTGGCTGTAGCTATGGCGACAGGCTCGTCGTTAAGATTGTAAACTCGTACATTTCTGCGTCAATATCTACCTCGATGCGGCTTAAAGATGTGATTTTTATTTAATACTACCGACCCACCCCGGCTTCGCACGGGTGCAATGCATTATACATATAAACCTTCCTCTTGAATCACCCTATCTAGTGAAAAAAAACGCTTCAAGATCCATTGCATAGTTTTAAGGATATAAGCAAACATAGGGACAGACAGACAGCGGGACGACTTTGTTTTATACTCTGTAGTGATAAATAAATCATTAAATACTTAAACAAAAGAGCATATATGCGTGTATGTTTCAAATACATGGTAGTGTGTGTAATGTTTTCTATATTGATTTAATGTATTTTTATGCATAATTAAAAAAAGATGTTAGCATTCTGTTCGGCGAGAAACTTTCCGTTACTTTTTTCTAAAAAAAAAATAATTTAAAAATATTTAATTTAATTTAATTTAATGTAAACTTAAGCTGAGCAGAGATTAGCAGTATTACAATTTTTTAAAAAAACAAAATGAATTTATCGGTTTTTGATCAAACTGACGGATATGGCCTTGTATAACATCATATTTTTTAGATGTATTTTTATAACATGTTTCTAGGATTTTGGACATTCTTTAAACTCCAATCTTGACTCATTGAAATGAAATTTCCCCCTGTGTCTTATAAATCTTTGGATATAGGTTGTCGGTTTTCAACCAACCAAATGCACGGCCCATGAAAATTATTAAGGTTCTGTCGGTGTATATTCCAATCTAAATGTAATTTCCAAAATACACGATTTAAAAAAAAAAAAAAAAAACCGAGCAAAGCTCGGTCTTCCAGGTACTGTACTTAAACTGCCAATTGCCATACTTAACATTAAAACTGTTAAAATGTGATTTATCGGTTTTTGTTCCGATGCTCCTCAGTTTATATGTCAATAATTTGTCATAACTGACAGCATTTGACAATTTTAAAATCCTACATACGAAATCATCTGAATTTAAATATAATTATAGATTGGGCAAGGTGGGTACGAATGAGATAAACTGCATGTGATAGAAATTCTGCACAAGCAAGAGTTGTATTTTGTGCGAAGACGTAACTGACGACGACATTTCCCACGCCATGACTAGAATCATTGAAGTAGGTAGCCTTTGATATTTATTCTATTTATTACGGTTTAAGGACAGTTTATACAATTTTACTACGATAAAATTAAAAATAAAAGTACCTACTGAGCGCATTAATTACTGGTAAGCACTGAATGCCCAATACTCACCAGAAGCAGAAGTAATTTATACAACATACTTACATTGCGACCCGGGAAAAAATTTCCATTAGTTTCGGGTTTTTTTGACCAAAAAAAATTTTATTCGTTTAAGAAAAATCACTAACGACCCGCACCGGCTTCGTACGGGTGCAATGCTGAATGTTTGTTTTCGACATCGCATTGGAAACTATCAGTGTTTCTGTACTATATATTGTGCATGAATTTTACATATAAACCTTCCTCTTGAATCGCTCTATTAAAGAAAACCACATCAAAATCCGTTGCGTAGACTAAAGGTCTAAGCATATATAGGTACACACAGAGAGCGGGACGACTTTGTTTTATACTATGTAGTGAAGTTAGCAAGCGAGCAGGCGGTTCACTTGATGTTAAGTGACTACCGCCGCCCATGGACTTACAATTGATGTTAAGTGACTTGGCAACATTAAAAAAGTGGGCCACCTGAAGAAACACGTAAGTACAATAATTTCACTCCACACTGGTCTTCCGTGAGGCCGGGGAAATCCCCGGATGAGCCTGCTTATTCGTGCAACAGCCGAAGCCGCTGCGGGCGTTACTACAGTTATGGTAAAGTAAAACTGGGCCTCTGTAGAGAGGGTATTAGGGCACAGTGCACCACGCGACCACACTGCGGTTTGGCAGACTAAAAAACATCTTCGAAATATTTTTCTTTTGTTGTTGTTTCGAAAATACTAACGATTCCCCACGGTGTTTTCCTTCACAGCTGAGCACGTGATAAGTGAGCACCCAAAATTGACAACTTCATTGGTTGGCACCGGGGATTGAACTCGTGTCGTCTGGTTGAATTTAAAGCGAATGCCCGGACTAGGGACGTCGAAAGTGATAAAAAATAAAAATAAAACGTATGTCAAGTTTTAAATATTTGAATCTACAGACTCTGATTCGATTTTGAAAAAATATCGTTTTTCATACGATGTCGATGAATATTTTATGTCGATGTATCGGATCAAAATATATCGGCTAAACATATCGATACATTCAATCAAAAATATCGATATTTTTTCGACATCCCTAGCTATCGCGGTGGACACTGAACTATCGCGGCTTTTCAGGTAATGCATATATCAAGAAACAACAAAGCATTGATTTAGTATCCGAGCAGCCTATAAAAGAATTTTAGGCCCAAAAGGTACTGCCTCTTGAATCTTTTTTAAACATTGCCCTTACTTTAGGATACCCTGTGTTGTACGGACGTATTAAAGACAGGTTGGTCGGCCAAAATAAAATAGTGAGGATAGCGTAAACAACTATATATATTAATTAGACTACTTCTTACTTATTAGGACAGAGTAACGTCCTATACAAAGGATAAAGTGTTCTACCCTATCACTGAAACATTATGCGCTTATATACAAAAATATAATGAGTCATCACAACTACATTACAAATCAATGCACTTATTAAATTACTAATAGAGTTAATAAGATCGACCTATTAAATTATAAATTATTATTAAGCATTGTTCATTATATAATATTATACCAGATATGGTTCAATGTTTATTAAGAATAATTGTTATTGCTCGTTTATTAAGCAGTGTTGCCAGTGGATTGTAACAGACGCTTTACATACATAAATTTGACGCGGAAAAACACCCAGATGCGAATCAACTATTTGTGGGTCACACAAATACTTGTACCGTGTGGGAATCGAACCCACGTCCCTTGACGCCTAAGCCAATAGCAACACCGAGTGTCTTTGATTTAGTTTGTATATAATTTTCAATTCATTCAAAAAATAACTTTATAATTATTAGGCGAAATTTTAATGAAATACTATTCAATCCAACCACCCCTCCTTATCTTAAGAAGCGATTTGAGTATCTTTGTGATTCTCACCCAGATCGATCTCTCCGCTCCGATGACAATTTAATCCTCAGAATTCCTCCCCATAGTACATCTTTCTACTCAAATCCTTTTCTGTGGAAGCTGTTCGGCTCTGGAACTCTCTCCCACTACATATTAGGCGGGCACAATCCCTACCTATTTTCAAGCGACTTTTAAGAAAACATTTTATGCCTCCTTAATCATTGTGTTCCATTCCTCGATGTTGTCAACTTATATCTAAATACTTATACATTATTTATAACGTATATATTTATATATCGTGTTTGCATGTGTATTTATGTATAATTTATTAATATGTATTTATATTTTGACTTATAAGTTTCTCTTATTAATTCAGTGTACACCGTTACCCGATGCTACTGTTTTTACTATTTCCTTTTACTAGGTTGCCTGGAAGAAATCGCTTCTTAGCGATAAGGTCGTCTATTGTACAGTTTTGTATTATTTTAGTTGATTCTTCAATATCCGTTGGTTGTGTACAATAAAGTATTTTTCATTCATATTCAAATTTATATTCATCTATTGAAGTTTTAAAGCTCTTATAGTGATGTTACGTTTGTGGAAGACCAGATTCCCGAAATAAAAGTATTCATGCGACATTAAGTGTTGTTTACAAAGGCACAATTGAGTGATACGAATCCGTTAATTGCGAATTGTTCCATTAAAGTAATAGCGGCAGTAAATTAATGAACCACACTATTTCGTTTTCACGCTTTCGATCTCGGAAAGAATTTGTCTCGTACAGCGGATGGACCAAAAGCCAAAGCTACTAAACACATAAATCAACCGCCTACCCTGATGACCGGCATACGTTCTAGGGTTCTGTACACAAAGGGGACCCTATTATTAAGGTTCCGTAAAAACGGGACCCTATTATTAAGACTCCACTGTCCATCTGTCACCACGTTTATCTCATGAACCGTGATAGACAGTTGTAATTTTCACAGATGATAATATATTTCTGTTGCCACTATAACAACAGAATAAAAAATATTTAAGAGGGGTTCCCATACAACAGACATGTTTTTTTTTGGCGTTTTTATATAATGGTACGGAACTCGTCGCACGTATTATTTACCGTAAATAGAATTTTTGTCATTGGCGGTAGACCAAAAAGATTTTTGGCCATAGACTTCGTACACCTGTGAAGTCGTCCATTTATATGTCCCGGCATATTCGACATTATGTTCATTGTAAGTTTTCATTTGGACAAAAATAGTTTTTATTTTTAATATAAATAAAACAATATGAGGATATGAAATGAAACCATCTACTGAATCTATATCTACTTTGTTCGATTATATTCTGATGGTTACAATGATTACGGCACGTTATATTAAATATCGATCGTTCGTTTGTCTTTGAACAGTGACGTTACAATGAACGATTTAGTTATTAAACTAAAATGAAAAGATGCTACATAAACTAGATTAACAACGAAAGTAGTCACCTTCTCATTATTTCTCTCTACATGAAAACCTCTACAAAATTTTGATTAGTATCTGGATTGTTCGCGACACCGAACGGCAGTTTAGGCTGAGACTTTGGCCTGCTTCAACCAGGCGAGCTTCGCGTCGTTCACCAGCTGGTCGAGCTTGAGCCTGATCAGCATTATGCTCCTCCTGAAACGGTAGACCAGCTCATCGGCGGCGTTACTCCCGAGCCTGGGGAACTCGCTCCTTATCCGGTACTTGACGATGCGGAACGTGGAGTCTCCCATGCCGTCGGATATCTCCTTCTTGCTGTACCTCTTGCCCGCTTCCGTCTCCGCCAGCACCTGGTTCAGGTCGCTCACGAACTTCCGCTCGAACTGCTCGAGCAGCAGCTGCGCCTGTTTGCTCTCCGCGATGTTCAGGAAGTTGTACTTTGTCCTCAGGAGTTCCACCATGTTCCTCTTGAAGTTACGCACGTATCCCACTAGCACGTAGTTCTGTTTCAGCTTTCTCGACTCCACTCCGAAGTCCTCCTCCTCTTGCAGGGGCTTCGCTGCGATTTGGCTCGCGAATAGCGCCACTAGAATTATTGAGCGAACTGCGGACAAAAGTGCAATTACTTATTAATCTTTATATATCTAATATATAAAATTCTCGTGTCACGGTGTTTGTAATTGAACTCCTCCGAAACGGCTCGACCGATTTTCGTGAAATGTTGTGTGCATATTGCCCAGATCTATTTTTCATCCCCCTAAATGTTAAGGATGGTCCAACCTAAACAGTGTTTTCTACCCTACAAATTCCCTAGAAATAATTTATATGGCAGAACAACGTTTGCCGGGACAGCTAGTACATATATATAATTCTTCTGTACGTGTGTATGTCACTGAATTGCTCCTAAACATGTGGTCCAATTTTTATGAAGTTTTGTGTTTGTCGTCAGGTCGATTCGAGATTAGTTTAGATTCACAATTCGGTCCACTACAATTTCTTTTTAATTTGTTTATAAGGTTTTATCGGATATAAGTCGTGTGTACAGGACATCTATCAATTAACACTTTTAAACGAGCAATTCTTGTATATATGTATACCTATGATCTGAATCTCGGAAACGGCAACGGTTTTCATGGAATTTAGTATTCAGTGGGTTTCGGGGCGATAAATCGAGCTAGGTTTCATTTTTAGAAAACTTCATTTTATCAGGCAATAAGAAACTGCTTTAATATCATTAAAATATGAAGGAAAGTTTCGCCGAAACCGGAAAACCCCGGTTCGAGTCCATTTTTTTCCTTTTTCTTATTTATAGACCAATGAGATGGTAAGAATCTTAGTATCAATGTAAATGGCAGTTGATCGATCTCGGATGATGATGATGATCCAAATTCCTTTCTAGGGTTCCGTACCTTAAAAGGTAAAAAAAAGCCAACCCTTATACGATAACTCTCTTGGCCGTCCGTCTGTACATGTGTCAAGTTGAAATTTATACCACATACTGAAGTCTATAGTCCCTATTAGGTATAATAAAGTCAACTGAGTACTGAGTCAACACTATAAAAAGATTTCGGAAATTTAGGTTTCCGATAAAGCTCGTAAGTACCAAAATTTATCTCAATTTTTAACTTCCTTAGACATTTTCTGTATCTTTATTTTATAGACATAAATTTCTTTAGACTTTAAAAACACAAGATGGCCGAGCCATGCAGTTACTTATAAATAAATAGGCACACTCAGTACGACACTTGAGGAATTTAAAGACTGAATTGCATTTGGCGATGCCGAGGCAAATAGCTTGTCGTTAAATAAACGTTTCATGATAATTTCTTATATCTATGTAACCAAGAGCCTGGAGTCTGGGGGCTCGCCTTTAATTTAATATACTCGAGCAACCTGAGTTCGATCCCCGGTGCCAGCATCAATTTTAAGTGCTGAATTATCGCGTGCTCGGCGGTGAAGGAAAACATCGTGAGGAAACCTGCATATTTTCAAAATGGCGCTTAAAAATTGTTCCACTTTACATTATAAATGACGTATAGTGAATGTGACAGATGATATAGAACGTGTGATCGGTTGGAGATAACAGTTTATAGAATGGCAATCTAATTACATCAATTGGTGTTATTTGAGTGCCTCAGTTTCGTTACGTTACTGTCATATCTACCTCGTATTTGTATATAATATTATTTTCATTGCTTTTGTATGTGTTTTTGTGCGTGTTGTTGCTGGTCTTTTTGTTTGCAACTTAAAATATAAAATATCAACCAAGCCTGTAGTCTCTGACCATACTTTAAATCAGCTCAACCACTATATCCGGTTAAGTCTCTGAGCATACTTTAAATCGCCTTAACCACTAAATTCAATAGACCACGGTTTAATAGACCACGTATCCTTGCAAAATGACACCGTTGTTTCCTTATTTTGATGGACAAGAGTGGTGAATCCATCATGAGCTTGGGATCCCAACATTAATAAAATTAAATCTAGTCTCAAACGAACTACTACTGCAAGACACATCGTCACCATTTCAGGTTGTTTGTGAACCGAAAGATCATTTGCCACATAATCACATAATAAGTTACGAGTTTAAAATCAAAACTTTAAACACGATAAAACGCAAGTAATTTTATTTAACAATCCTTACTAATATTATAAAGACGAAAGTTTGTATGTATGGATAGATGTTTGTTACTTGTTTGTTTCACGCAAATACTACTGAATGGATTTTAATGAAACTTTACAATAATATAGCTTATACATCAGAATAAGACATAGGCTATAATTTATATACATATTTAATGTGTATCTGTCTTTCTGTCTTAATGTTACACCTTCGGCATATTCTACGCAGACGTAGTAGCGGATGACAGCTAGTAATTTACATATCGCATTCGCATAAACACAGAATAATATGATAAACACAATAAATACACAAAAAAAGTAAGTTTGTATTTATGTACGCACGTAAGAAGTTATACTTCTTTAGCGTAAAGACATTAACACTCAATTGATAATGTTTTTTATATAACTTAGAATTATAAGTAAATGTCAAAACGTTGTTATCGGTTGCCATGGTAATATCGTGACATTTGGTTGCGAATCATCATGCTTGGTCATCATTTGCTTCAATCAATGATGACCAAGCATGATGATTCGCAACCAACTGCATCACGTAACTTAGGGGGTCGGGGTGCGCGCGAATCGTAAAAATTTTACTCTCACAAGTTTTTCCGAACGCGCCAAAAGAAGTAACTTCAAATATACGTTGTCAAATGAGCAGTATTCCCTTTTCATTTTATCAGTTAATAATCGCATTGCGTTTAATGCTCCCTTAATTGAAACTGGAGCGAGGGGAGACTGAAGATCGGAGTCAGACTTAATGGAATGTTAGTGTCTTCAAGGCAAGGCGACTGTCGGAAATGTCAATCTCTCTCACTGTTAACAAGGTTAATAGTACACCGGCGAGAGATCAATGGAAAAATCAGCTTAAATGTAATACAGCGTGTCGTTACCATCGCGACAATAAATGAGCACACGTCTAGCGCTACTTGCCAATAATCATAAAAAAATATTAACGTTAAAAAAATCCATAATTAAAAAAAAATATTTTTCAAACAAACTAATTAAGTAAAAAAGAAAAAGAAAATTGTTACATCCTATACAACTCGCGCCACAGCGTCGTATTACAAGCCTCTCTTTCTAACAGTATGTTTTTTCTCTTTTAAATTCATTCAACCCATTCATATGCTTTGTGACCTTTACAAATGAACTTTACGTTACGCTTTTATAGGTAAGGGTGTTCTAAAATTCTTTGTTTTGGAAACTTTAATAACTCTGTAAATATTGATGTTTAAAGAATTTAAATGTTTAATACAACTTTAAAAAGTTATCCCCTATATGTGTGTTCATTTATTGTCGCGATGGTAACGACACGCTGTATATATAAAACTCGCTCGGTGCAAATGTTTATTGTTATAAATAAATGGCCACGCATTCTTCGCTGTTACACGAACTGGAAGTGAAGTGGAAGTGTTAAACTTCTACATTTAATCTGCTGAGTGAGGTAGCCGGGGCCCACTTTATTGAAAGGTGGCAACGCATTTGTAATATCATTTAAATCGCCCGCAGTTTGCCATCTTCTTACATAAAATAAAAATAATAATATTTTATAAGTTATGCAGATGTAACGTCATTGAGAAGATTCACATGTTCTTTTACAATAGCAATAGCGTACAAATATTTTAATCAATCATTTGAAAATTGGTAAATTAGAGAAATACTAAAAATTTATAGAAAAAATTAACGTATAAACTATACGTTAATTTTTCGTTGCGTAATCACCGCTTCGGGAATCGAACCCACGTCGTCCGTTTTTGGGCCGGTATTCGAATTGACACAAAAATTCGACGCTTGATTTGTTTCTTATTGTTTCGAATATACGATTCCCTTCTGAAATAGAACGATCGCCACATCGTACATACAAAACATTTCGCATTGCATATAGGTAAGTGCAAACGGTTAAATCAAGCATGACAGCAATTTCCTGTTGGCTTAAAGTCACGACTAGGCTGACCCTGTCTCGATTTGTAATCTGGAAAAGCTCAGGTTGATGTCAGGACATCACTATAGTGATATCATAATACTAGGAATGTGATGGCCATAAAAAAACTAAACGGTTTCATAAGCCGAGGGCCGAAAAAACGAGGGAACTCGTTTTTTTCTGTTTGTTTCATGTTTAAGGTAACGAAACAAGAAACCTCATAGGAACCCTCTAAAACGGTTGGTAGCGCAGTCGCGCAAGTCCATTTCAATTCACAAATTTCGAAGTTTAATTTACGAATGACGAAGTTTATTTTACGAATGACGAAGTTTAATTTACGAATATAGAAGTTAAATTTATGAATTAAAAAAAAAGTTATTTTTCAGCCCTGAGAGGCATTAGAATGGTCACGTCAAAGTCGTAAGTATAGGACGTTTTTCTTTGTTATACTCGTTACTGAAAATAAACCTCTAGCGTTTGTTAAATTAAAGAACCTGCCAAGTACTAGTCGCACTCGCCCTCGAAGGGTTCCGTACCTGTCAATTGTATGCGAACACCGTTTAAATATTTTTTTATTCTATTTTTTAGTATTTGTTGTTATAGCGGCAACAGAAATACATCATCTGTGAAAATTTCAACTGTTTAACTACTAGGTTCATGAGATATAGCCTGGTGACAGACGGACCGACGGACAAACAGACAGACAGTCAGCGGAAACTTAGTAATAGTCCCGTATTACCCTTCGGGTACGGAACCCTAAAAAGGCCACGGGGAGGTTTCTGAGTATTTACCGAAATCAAGAACGAATTTGTACGAAGGTAGTGCAGTTATGTACAGTGGACAATAGTATACACAACATTTATTTATTTATTAGGTCTGCCAGTAGTTGTTACATTAAAAACAATATTATATTATAAATGTTATATATATATTATGATATATGGCATGAAATGTGCGGAATGCCATTAAATAAAACTCACAAATGTGCTCACTGTTAATTGTATTACATCAGAAGAACTTTAGATGTGTTCACAATATTTTCACCCTTAAAGTAATGTTATTGTTAACAAAGACAAGTCGACCGTTGTGTTCTCAGCGGCGAGTCTCGAGGCAGAGGTAACTCCCCGGTCGCCGACCAATCAGAGGCGACTCGTTTGTAAACCGCGAGTCGCGCGCTTTTGCGCGCTAAATTTAAAATAGACGCGGCGGTTGTTTTCATCCGCCACAGATATTATATTAATGTTATATATATTATGATATTATATTATACAGCGTGTCGTTACCACCGCGACAATAAATGAACACACATATAGAGGAAAACTTTTTAAAATTGTATTAAACTTGAGTTATTAAATTTTCCAAAACAAACAATTTTAGAACACCCTTACGTATGAAACTGTAATGTAAAGTTCATTAGTAAAGGTCACAAAGCATATGAATGGGTTGAATGAATTTAAAAGAGACAAAACATACTGTTAGAAGGAGAGGCTTGTAACGCGACGCTGTGGCTCGAGTTGTATAGGATGTTACAAATTTTGTTTCTTTTTTACTTAATTAGTTTGTTTGAAAAATATTTTTTTTAATTATGGATTTTGTTTAACGTTAATATTTTTTTATGATAACTGGCAAGTAGCGTTAGACGTGTGTTCATTTATTGTCGCGATGGTTACGACACGCTGTATATGTTATAAATGTTATAGTTTAATATACATCTAATTAAAATTAAAAACAAAAAAATAAAAGTGAATAGAAAAGTATGAACAAAATATTATTAGGCTCACTTATTAGTAAATAAAAAAAAAACGAATTATAATATTTCTAAGACAAAGAGAGAAAAAAAGAGTAAAATATTTCGGAGCATGGTGTTTGTCCACGTGAAATTTATGTATACAAAACGTCCTTACAATGTTAGGATAATGTTGTCCTCGGCTATGTTTTCTTTACCAGAATCACAAATGTCTAAATAACTAAAGGATAATACTCACGCATTGTGACCCTCAATATGTTAGCGGCGAGCGAAGCCCAGTTAACGAATGTATCGGGATAGGGAGCTGCGAAATCGTTTAGATGCACGGAAGGAGTTATTCAATCAGGAGCTACCGTTCGATCTCCCATTAAAAAAGGAGGAGAATCTCAAATCGGTTGTATTTTTGAGGTTAAAACTTCTTTCAGCACTTTTGAGATTGGGAAAGAGCTGAACTCGGCTGTCAGCGCATCCAAATTTTTTTTTCTAAAGGCTCTAAAAGAACTATAATGTTGTAATTATGGCACATATTTAATCTAATTAATAATTTATCAATAATTTATAAGTACATTTTGTTGTGATTTATTTAAAAGTTTTGGTTATTGGTAGTTAAGGCTGTTGCTCTGTTTGAAAAGCTAGGTACTATTGTTATCCAATTATTTGAGCCATCGTTGAGTTATAGTTGTATAAATCGGTAAAAGCTGTGTTTTATAACTTGTATCCAATAAACTCTATTGGAAAAGCTAAGTATTATTTTTATCCAATTATTGAGTCATTGAGTTACAGTTGTATAAAACGGTAAAAGTTAGTTTTATAACATGTTTGTATCTAATAATTATCTCAAAGAAGACACGATGTTGTTATTCCAGGGGTTTGTTGCATACCTCCGACCAGTCGGTTCGCAGTAGTGGACCCCGCTCTCCAGCGTGGTGGAGTGCAATCTTTTTAACACACCGTAATATACCACGTCCGGTCGTAAGCCGTCGGTGCTGCGTTTAGAACCGATTGCACGGCTTCGAACTCTGTACCTGGTCGGACTCGCCGTTTAGTTCTACGCCAGAGGACTACTTTAATCTAGGTAATTGTTTAAAGTCATTATAAAATTGTTTAGTCATTATAAAAAGTGACTAGATGGCGCTAGTAAATTTGTAAATCATATCGGCCAAAACAGAAATAAAGTAACAGCCTATAATATGGCATGCTCCACGCGACCCCACTGCGGATTAGCTTCGCATATGTTCGAAATTATGTTTAGTTATTATTTCGACAGCAGTATCCCAAATCCTCCTTCGCAGCGTCGCCTCTGCCTTATCAGTATATTTTCAGTATATTATATTATCAGTATATTATCAGTATACTTATCAGTATACTTATCAGTATATTATCAGTATATTATATTATCTGCCTTATCAGTATCCTAACCTAGATACTTATTTAAGATCGCCGGCCTAATTTGTGATATTTTTGGAAGAATAAAACTTTTAATATCTTGTGTCCACCATTCCTTGAGTTAATCACAGACTCCCTATTCCACAGATTACAAAATTATAGTTGTAGTAATTTTTCTACAGATTATAAATATTTGAAGATTTATGAGCCAAGTGAAGGTCTAACATGCAACACGTAGGTTTTCCTTCACTGTAGCAAAATAAAAAAGTAAAGTAACAGCCGATACAAGCTCCACTGCAGGACAAAGGCCTTCTCTGTATAAAGTGCACCAGGGCATAGCCCACTACGCAGCCTCACTGCGGATTGGCGGACTTCGCATATCTTTGTCATATTTTTTTAGTTCTATTTGGAAAATATGCAGGGTTCCTCACGGTATTTTCCTTCACAGCTGAGCACGTCACAAGTCAGCACCTAAAATTAACAATTTCATCGATGCTGGCCCCGCCATTTGACATTGACATAGACATAAACTTTATTTTACGGTGGTAGGGCCACGCAGCAGCCTCGGCTGTTGCACGAATGGGCAGGCCCGTCCGGGTAAGTACCACGACCTCACAGAAGACCGGCGTAAAGTGGAAGTATGACAAATACTTTCGCGTTTCGTCTGGTGAGTGAGGTAGCCGGAGCCCAATTTTCAAAAGGTTGTCAACGCATCTGTAACCCTCGAGTGTAGCAGATGTCCATGGGCGGCGGTATTCACTTAACATCAGGTGAACCGTCTGCTCGTTTGACAACTTTTCGCATAAAAAAAAAAAAAAAAAAAATTTTGACAAGCAACAAACAGCACAAAAAAATTCAAAAACTAAATGATATGAACATAACAAATTGATAAATAAAAACATAACATCGTTTCAATAAAAAAGCAAGTTAAATAAAGGAAGAAAAATACGTACACAAAGTTACAAATATAAAAATTACTAAAAATATAAAAATAATTTGAACTCAAGTAGCTATAGTATATCGATTTAAAACCGATATTCCCGAACGATGAGCTAATGAAATTTTCACAGATGATGTATTTCTGTTGCCGCTAAAACAACAAATACTAAAAAAACAGAATATAAAAATATTTCAGTGGGGTCCCGTACAACAGACAAGAATTTTTGCCGTATTTATAGATGATGGTACACATCAAAATCTGGCGGAAAAATTAAGGACTACGCTATCAATTAATACAGAACATAATCAAATAAGGAAATTTGTATTTAATTTTAGGTACATCTTCATTATCACAGTCCAATTCGTAAAGCCCATCCAACGAAAACGCAAGTCTGTAAATAATCTGTGGGCCGTGCAGGTACAAAATGAATGTCTATGCTTTTTCTTTCTATCTTTATATCTATTCTATAAGCAAGAAAGCGTTTTTTCTTGAAGACTCCAAACCGTCGCAATCCGGATATCCGATGGTGACAAGAAGATTTGCTAAAACATCTTTCCGAAACCTCAAATAATCACAGACTAGATACTAATTACTTTAATAAGTGATCAAATACTAAGAATTAAACTACTCTTCTTGTTTACATGAGATACTATCATAATTTGCCTGTAATCGATATGTCAGGGGTCAACAGGATCTGGGATAGACAACTTTTTTAAGAGTTAAGCATTTGTACTTTTTATTTATTTTTTAGAACCCTAACCTTGTTTTTGATTTTATTTTGTGTACAATATAGAATAAAGAACGTCAAATACTCACATAATTAATATGTTAGCGATAGTCTAACTAAGTAGGGTAAGAAACTATATCCTACAGTTAAACTGTGACAGAATTAGCATACTAACGACAGTCCTAACGGGGTAAGGAACTGTATCCTTTAGTTAAATCATGACTGATAAACGTACAAGCCATCAGAAAAAGCAACACGTAGTTAATAGCTCAAGGAAATTTACGTTTCTACCATCGTAAACTTCTTTAAGATACGTGTTTCCAATTTTGTAGTGCAGACACAAAGATATTCGTAATGAGTATGAACAGAGTTTGCCTAACATTGCCTAACATGCCTACATTTTTCAGCCTAATATACATATTTCACCATCATCGTCATTTGAGCCTGTTTTAGTCCACCGCTGGAGATAGACCTCCCACCACAGATTGCCACGAAGATCGTTCCGGAGCCTGCAGCATCCATATAATTTCTGCACACTTGCACAGTTTGTCACTCCATCTAGTAACTATCGATACTTATATTAGGAACTAGCTATGCCCGCGACTTCGTCCGCGTAGAATTTAAAATAAATAAAGTTTCTACAATAAAAGTTGCCTTAGTTACTCCTTATTACATTAGCTATCTGCCAATGAATGTCCCTTCAAAATCTTCCGGCCGTTTCAGAGATTAGCCGCAACTTACACATAATTATGTACTTTCACAGTGCCAAATCTCAGCCTTAATCTGTGTTCTCAGTCAGTGTTGCCAAGTTCTAAAAAAATAGCCCTAAATAGACGATGAAATAGCCCTGATTGCAATTTTCAAAAGCCCCAAAAATCCCTGTATTTTCTTAAGAGATATTGTTTAAATCAGTTTTATTAAGGTAAAGAAAATACAAATAGTTCAAATAATTATCAAAACAACACAATATTAACTATCATTTCATTAATTAATAGACATTTTGTTTTTTTTTTTACTCACTATTGTCAGTCAAAATAGTGATACATGAAATATTATTCATGGCCCTAAACTTTTTTGGACCGTAAAAAAAGCCCAGTATGCATATTTCCTACATTTGGGGTTAAAGGCCAAAATTGGCAAGACTGTTATCAGATTTAACCGTGCGTGCAATTTTCTTAAAAAGGCCTGGAACTTATCCACGAATAAGCATATAGATAACAAAACCTCGGCGATATTGTAACTCTTTATTGAATCAATACAAACAAAATCTAAACAATTACGACGAATAATTTGTTGCTTTTACAATAACAATGTATGTTCCTATTTTCGTCTATTTACGATATGATATTTGAGACTATTTTTAAACACAAACTAATGTTTGTTTTATTAATTGACTATGCAAAAATAATTGGAAATTAAAAACACATATAACTCAGTAACTGTCCTTTACTCTTGTCTCAAGGACTGACAGAAACCGGTTGAACCTTGGTCAGGTCAAGTTTAAAGACCTGACGTAAGAAATGCAAAGTATTTATGAACATTTGATGTAACTTGAGACGTTTGCTTAAATTCTGTTTCTTTTAAGTTTTAGGGCTCCTTTCAATTGTTTAATAAGCTCATGCACGTATGTAATAAATCCTGTAGCTGAGATTACATAAAATGCTAAAGGTATACGTTGGATTCCGTAGGTATATGTGGTCTTGGAAGTTTTTCAAAGTGATATATCCCAGTTTTAGTTTGACTTCTGTTAATTACTATCTTGTCTCTGAAAGCAGGCAGCGATGGAACATTGTGTATTAGAAGTGGGACTCATGCAAGGTCGTCTGTTAGAAGCCGGTGCTCAACAATGATAATATACACAATAGATATGACACTAGTGCATCGAAACTGGAACACTCAAATCACACCAATTGGTGTAATTCTATAGACCACTATCTCTTTCCATGTCATAGTTCTATATCATTTGTCACATTCGCGCGGAACAATTTTTAAACGCCGCGCGGTAAGGACATTCGTCATCTATATCAGGGGTGAGCAACATTTTTAATCAATGGACCAATTTAAATTTAAATTTTTTTTGGCGGGCTGCACATAATAATTTACGAAACTTTATTTATAATCAATATTAGAATAAAAAAATATAAAAAAGTAAAGATTTCATATAAAAATTTTAATGTAAGGTAAAAACAAGCAAGAAAAGAACAGGTTCATTATGTACTACCATTTTATTATAATTAATTTTATAACACTATATTGATGGGAGAAATTCCATAAAATAAATTCAATTTTAGAAATGTTTGGCGGGCCGCATAAAGATGTTCAACGGGCCGCAAGCGACCCGCGGGCCGCGCTTTGCTCATCCTTGATCTATATTTTTAAATATCGTTGGTGTTCAGAAATGACTCGTAATTTGCTACTAATGTTTGACGAGCACTGTCACTTTGGGAGAAGATAAACTCGGCTGCACTCCGCAACAAACAACTTCCGTTATCAGGGTGTTGCGGAGTGCAGCGGAGCGGACGGCGTCTTCTTGTCGTCGTCGTGCGCCAGCTACGTTGTTCTCCCGAGTCCGTGGGTCGTCTGCCCGCGGACCTCTTCCGCCGAAGCTTTCAAAGCCGCCGAACTAACAGCAAACTGCACGTCACAAAAAAAAAACTCGGCTGACTTTAGAAGAAACAGATTAGCCAACCCTATCGAAACCGAACAAAACGGACGACAGTCCGTTGGACAGTCTTTTATTCCGCGCACACAAAACTGTTACAATAAATAAGTTTCCTCACTTTTTGTATCCAATTCCAGGCCAATTTGAAAAGGTTGTCAACGCATCTGCAACCCTCGGGTGTAGCAGATGTCCACGGGCGGCGGTATTCACTTAACATCGGGTGAAAAAAAAATCTAGTATATTGTTTCCATTCAACCGACTTCAAAAAAGGATGTTCTCACTTCAGCAGCTCAAGCGGAAGTTGATATGGAATTAGAAACAAACGCATTTAATAATAAAACATGAAGCGTATGCTAGTTTGCTATTGTTCCGATTGAGAATTGACCGCCATGGCGACCTTCGAACTCTCGATGAGCCCGTCCAGTCGCCGGCGTGTTGCCAGCAGGTTCACACGTATCCCGTACACTATGTCATCCGCATCCGCATCGCTTATATCGGGAAACTCCCTGAGAAGCGTCGCCTTGATGTTCTCGGACGTCGCTTCGGATATTCCGTCGTCTGGTTCGAATTTCGAATGATTCCGTGTCCTTTCGACATCTAGACCGTTTGCCTTTGTCTCGTTCGCCGACCGCGCCAAAACTTCCGCTACGCCTTTCCCGAAATCCAGAATGAACTCCTCGAGGATCGCTTCTACCGCCTCCCTCTCGTGAAGCGTCAGATGCCTGTACTGCGTGCTCACGTAGTCGGCCATCGTGGCCTTGAAATTCTCCACGTACGCGACGAAGTTGAGGTCGCGCAGTTCCGCGGCGTGTGTCTCATCCCGTTGTAGGGGGCGCGCGAATGCACACACCACTAGAGAGAGGAGCAGTTGAGCGTCTGGAACAATAACAAGGAGTTGTTGGATTGGCTGATGTATTTTTTTATGTATGTGCAAGCGAGCTGGGTGCTCACGTGATGTTAAGTGATAACCGCCCATTGGCAATTGCAAGGCCAAGTAGGGTTGCAGATGCGTTACTAGTTTTTGATAAAGTGGGCTCCAGTCACCTCACTCACCAGACGAAACGCAGAAGTGTGATGCTTTAATTTACGCCGGTCTTCTGCGAGTTCGTGGTGATTGCCCGGACGGACCTGCCCATACATCTAACAGCGAACAAGCGAACACTGTTACATAGCCCTACAACAGTTAATCTTCTTTTTTATGTAAGAAGTTAGCAATCTATCAGGCGGGCGACGTCATGTTAAGTGACCTCCGCCCATGGACATTAGCGCCTGACGGGTTTCAGAAGCGTTGCCAACATTAAACAAATTTTAAAGTTTTTTTATAGTGCTAATCTCTGCACTTAAGATTGAACATTAAAACATGTAGAAAAAGCAGCTATCAGCCGTTTAGCTTAGTGGGGTTCGATTCCCACAGCGGCGACAATCTTTTCGGACTTTTTCTACATGTTTTAATGTTCAATCTTAAGTGCAGAGATTAGAACTATAAAAAACTTTAAAATTTATAAAAAGCAATGGCGACATTTCTCGTTCGAATTATCGTTGTAAAACGATATCCGAAATTGTTTGTATGCTGGAAAGGATATAACAATAGATGCACCCAGCATTGCTTCAAATGCTAAATAACAATGTAGAAGGAAGGCGTTAAGATTTTCATCGCTGTGGCTATCAGCCGTTTAGCTCAGTGGCTAGAGTGTCAGGCCGTGAATGCCGAAAACGTGGGTTCGATTCTCACAGCGGCGACAATCTTTACGGACTTTTTTACATGTTTTATCATTAAACAAGTATATTAACTCCTTTTCTCGCCTCGTATTCTGCGAGAATGTACGCCCATTCGTGCAGTGTGACGTCACCATAGTGACTTAATCTTGACTTTATTAACCTGTTAACTGGATGCTGAATGATCTCCTTCGCTCGTGGATCTTCGTAATTGTAAGGGAATCGTGAAAGCATGGCCGGCCTTTTAATAAGAAAATCCTTACTATCCTTACTAATTATAAAGGCGAAAGTTAGTACGTATGGATGGATGTTTGTTACTCTTTCACGCAAATACTACTGAATGGATTTTAATGAAACTTTACAATAATATAGCTTATACATCGAAATAAGACATAGGCTATAATTTATATACATACTTTATGTGTATCTGTCTTTCTGTCTGAAAGTTACTCCTTCAGCCTATTCTACGCAGACGTAGTCGCGGGCAGCGGCTAGTGTTTAATAATTTAACGGTAAAGATGTTCCGCGTCGAATTAACCCCACATATGGCTACACACGTAACAATCCGTATCGTGAATGCTACTGAAGAGTTTTCGATGAAACTCGCAACTAAGTAGAAAGGTAATCAATCCGATGTAAACGAACTGCCGACACAAATTCAAATTCAAAATATCTTTATTCACACAGATGCTTGCTCGTTCTTATAAAACGTCGATATTTAAAAAAATGGGGCAAAGTGTGCGCATGTATAATAAATCCCACAGTCGGTACTTAATATCGACTGTGGGATATTATTATACATAACTCAAACATACTTAAGACGTCTGGTAAACCTGTTTAGTAGCCCTTAGAGATATATGCATAAGGCAGAATTGATAACCTCCTTGACCGGTTAAAAACATTAGCAACTTGTGGCACTGGGACTATTGAGCACACTAAAGGAATAATCAGCAGCATTGATATCGCACAAGCACTCGAGCGACATCTATAAATATGAATAACACTTAACAGACGGAAAGTAAATGCACCGACCTAACTGCGTTGGAGGAACAACAGTTTATGGTTAAATTAAACTATTTTACGGATTCTATCAATTATGGGCTATTAAATCCAGGCATACCAACACCGCTAGACCTGAAGATAGTAGATAGTACTCTGAACTAGAAAATATAAATACACAAGTATTTAAGATTAGCCAAAACATCTCAGAAACCCATAATATTAATTATTTTAATCAATATTTTCTGTAATTAATATTTTTCATTAATAAGTTTAAATATAAATTCATTGTAAATACAATAGGCAAAAGTAACTTCTAAAAATTGTATTTAAGTATATGTAAGATAGGCCTAAAGGACGAGATTCCAGGGCCGTTAAACAAAAACAAAAAATCAAGATACCATAAGCTCCTCTAAAAAAAAATATAATAAAATAATTGGCGGTAGCACGGGTTAACTCTGTAGACATGAAACAAGTGCCGTGAACGCCACACCAGATTACCCTATCTCTCTGGAAAAATACCCATTTGATTTCTGAGAACAGGGGTGGAAAGGGTTACGTCGGGAGTATAAAAATCAAATTAAATCGTATATATTATTCACGTAACAAGAAGAATGTAATTTAAAAAACTAAAAAACCCCGACTGCGCTTCTGTGTAATTTTTTTTTACCCAGTGTCACAGCAAATACGAATCTAACGACACCTCTCAAGCTAAAACCTATCAAGCCGTTCAGGCCGCAGAGCGTGCCAAACAATTATACATACATACTCTCGAAAAATATAACCCTCCTTCTGGCGCAGTCGGGTAAAAAACACAAAATCAATAACCGACAGTTTATTTAACGCTGCACGGTTGCGTCATGTCGACCAAGGAGTGACACAACGGTGACGGATGACCGACATGAAATAAAAGTATTTAAATATACTTTTTGCTCTCCATTCAAATAAAATATGACCTTAAAACCTTTTAAAAACTTTTCGTTGGTTACACTGAATTATAATAGATCTCACAAAACTCACAAAACTCTCTCATTAGTAACATTGGAACGCTTGAAGCGATGCGTCAGAGAATGCACGACTGCTGAGTTCAACGCGGAGTCACTCATTATATTGCATGGTCACAGGGTTATTATACAAGTTAGTATTGTTTTGAAGCCACATCACGTAAGTCTTTAAGACCTCTAAGCAGGATAACATCGCATGTATTGTACACATACTGGCTTTTTCAGTGTTTAAAAAAATATAAATTGGACCGTAGCTAACTATGTCTTTGAAATCATTTTGGCTGATTGAAACATTTTAAAATTCTCCTACGATAAACTCTGATTTGTGCGAATGTTAGACCACTGACTATAAGAGTGAGGCGTATTTATCTTAACGGGTAAATATAACATGTATCTAGAGATAACAGACTGTACCTGTTACGTACAAACTTAAATAACAGTTCCTGTTGCACACAAATTGATCCCTAACACGCTGCACAAGCTTTTCTTTATTCATGCTTAAGACTGTTACCTTAGTTAGAAAGAGATAAAAACTAGTACACCTTGTTACTGAACATCGTCACTGTCATAAGCTCTTTCTTTTTCTTTTCTGAAACGTACGGATGGTACCATAGAGTACCATACAGTATGTTAACAGCTGCTACAGTGTGTTACTCTATACTAACAGTTACACAAATTGTCACAACATACTATGAAATAACAGGTTGTTATTTTGTAACAGGTATTGTCACTGTTACTTTTAAGTAACAGTTTAAACAACTCTGTAAGTCACCACCACAGATTAGTAAAGTAACAGGACTCCGCGCCACCCATATGTAAAGTGAGTCGTCATAGGATCAATGTGTGAGTAATTTGTGGGATACCAGATGAATGAAAATTTGCCAATTTATGTTTTTTTTATGTTTTACAACTTTATTCATTTAATTTAATAAAAAGGTAAAATAAGTCGACTTGAATTATTAAATTGAAGAGACAAAAATGTATTTAAAATTAAGTGTTTCTGTTGTATTATGTCTGATGACAAAAAAAAAACTGCTGTAGTTAGTAAGTAATTCAATTGATTGTGTTGTAAAATAGCACAGAGTACAAAAAACACTGGAAGAACGATCATTTATGTTGAGTTTTTATATACCTAACTTATACAGTTCATTGTCCTTGTATTCCTTGTCCTATACATTCTAATTTGGATATATGAATGAAATCTTATGGCGGAATATTTGTGTGAAATGTAATAAACGAACAGAAAGTGTGGTCGATTTCTAAATTTACAATTACATTTAATAATGTTTTAGTTATTACGATTGTTGTCTTTCGCTGCAGATTGCTATTTTTTCGTGGTAACCAAATCATTTGCATCTAAATTTATAGAATAATAATAATTAATATATATAAATAATAATAAATAATTAATATATAGAATCCAGCGTTTTTCATCACTGCATTTTCTTATATTTTTTATTCAACCATTGTTATATGATTGATTTGCTGTAGAAAATTGATATAAATAATCTTATCAATACTTGCAAGGTAATTATTTAATAAATACAATCACAATATGGATACCGATAATGGATTACCCAATCTCTCGGGAAAATTACCCATTTATTTTCTGACAACAACCTAGACAAGGTAAGGTTTTGTGTTCTTTATATAATGCTAATGATTTTAAAATGTCAAAAATATAACATATCAACTAATCAGTTAAATTTGTGTCTTACCTGTGTCAAGTTCTGTTAACAATTTTTCTAGGATTTAATTTTATTTTTACATCATTTTAAATCACAAGATGGCATTATTTTATTATAATTCCTTGAGTAAACAGAACCTATGACTCCGCTGTGCCGCGTACCCAATAGCATTTAAACCGAGGTTTTTCATCAACGAGATAAATTAGAGTTAACTGGCTTTATTTGATATTCAACTTTAACAAAAATTTTCAAACTTTCATAATTTAATACGATTGGCAGATTTCACATGTTTTCGAAAAAAAAAACATTTAGGTCAATTATATTTCGAAGATATACAGGTTTCTCGATGTTTTCTTTAACCGCTCATTGCTAATAAATCAGTATTCGTCAAAAGTCAGTAATCGTAAAAAGTGTTACACTGCGTTTCGTCTGGTGAGTGATGTAGCCGGGACCCACTTTATTTAAAGGTCGCAACGCATTTGCAACCCTACAGAAACCTGTTGCAAATATCTGTCCGGTTATCAATTAACATCAGGTGAATCGCCAGCTCGTTTTCCACTTTCTGACATAAAACTCACTCAGATTGCTTGAGTGTAGGCTTAAAAGCGTGCACCCCTGAATTATCACATTAACACGACCATGTTTTTTATACCTTACATTACGATAATATATCCCACAGCTGGGCGAAGGCCGAACCGGGATTATTCCCACACTCGTTAAACATAAAAATGGGTTCCCACGGCCTTTGCTATTCTAAATGGGCGTTAAAAGACAAAACAGTTTAGATTGCTTTAGTGACCTCTGACCGACCAAAGATAACGCTAGAAACGGAAAAACAATCCAAAAATAACTCCAATGCAATGTGATAGTTGTAAACAGCTGTACGATATCGGCAGACGTTAAAAATAAGTAGCTTTTACAACTTTTGCTATTATAATATTACTGATTATTAAAATGATAAGTCGAGTTTCTTCGTTCTTATCAGTGGCTTTGCTTTTCCGAACCGGTGGTAGTTTTGACAATAAATAAGCTAGTGTAATTTCTACTATATTGAATTTATAAAGAATAAATATTTAACTGGCCCATTCTGGCGTGGCAGGGTGTCCATAATGTTTGAAAAAATTAAAAATAATCTTTGAAAAAAACATTTGTTCACAGGTACGTACCAGATTCAGATTTAGAATCAAATTCTGCATATGATCTGCTAATGTGTCCGTCGTCTATAAAATCAACCGTATAAAAACGAACCGTACATTAATTGCCAATTGTTTTCAATTGCTTGCTTGGATTCGCATATTTTTCACAGAAGACTGGCACGAGTTTAGTGTTAATATTTTTGTTTTACTTTCAGTGAATGAGGTAACCTTAATCCACGGATCACTTACCATCATGCATCACGTGCCTATTGCCTTTTGAAATAAAAAGAAAACACCAGTAAAGACATATATTTATAAATTAAAATGAAGCATATCTTCGAAACTTCGCGAGAATTAAGCGTTACAATACATCTGATACTTTTGTTTGAGAGGAGATTCGCGGTAAATACATCATTAATATTCTTTAGCAGCGTTCGTTAAGGATAGGATATGTTTGTACAAAATAAAATACGTATCGTGCTACATCTGGTACTTTTGTTTGAATGGATTTCGCGGTAAATACATTGTTAATGTTCTTTAGCGACGAGCTCTAAGGAAATACGTATTGCTCCATTCCGTTTGTGTACACCAGGAACGGTTTATCGCCTCGTTTCCTGTTTAAATAGCGCAACACCTCTCTCCCGTTCTCCGGCAGGTTCAGCCACACCACCTCCGGTGTCTGGGAACCCTCCAGCCCCCCCGATTGTTCCACCCAGCTGGCGGCTTCTTTAGCATCAGAGCTGCAGTCATTCACGATGAACTCCAATACGGTGTCTTTCGTGTCATCGTCTTCTTGGTAGTGCCTGTCGATCTTCATCTTCAGCGAGGCTACGTCGAAGTCCTGGTTGCGCGCCGCCAGCCTGGTCACGAACTCGACGACCTCGTTCATCATCGAGTCCAGTTTGTTCCTGTTCTCCGGCGTCATGCGTATGCAGCTTGGGTCGTCGGCTGTTTCTGTTAATGAGCCCAATTTTCAAAAGGTTGTCAACGCATCTGTAACCCTCGGGTGTGGCAGATGTCCATGGGCGGCGGTATTCACTTAACATCAGGTGAACCGTCTGCTCGTTTGACAACTTTTCGCATAAAAAAAAAAATGAGACAGACTCCAAGTTAATCTTTCTCACTCTCTCTGTTAATGTGTGCGGGGATGATATCGATATGATAACTCTATTGACATCTTTACGGCGGTAGGGCCACGCTGCAGCCAAGGCCGTTGCCCGAATGGGCAGGCTCGTCCGGGTAAGTACCACGAAGTGGAAGTATAATACTTTCGCGTTTCGTCTACCTTATCCAGCCCAATTTTCAAAAGGTCGTCAACGCATCTGCAACCCTCGGGTGTATCAGATGTCCATGGGTGGCGGTATTAACTTAACACCAGGTAAACCGCCTGCTCGTTTGGCAACTTTTCACATAAAAAAAATATATTACCTGAGGACGGGAGCGCCAAGACAGTACTCAGCAGCTGTGGGAAAAACAAATCAGTTATAACACAAACTAATTGAATTATTTGATAAAAAAATTGACGTGAATAGGTGGAAGAGTGTAGTATCACATTGACAGAGTATTTACTATTTGCAAAAAAGGGGAAGGTTCTCAATTCGACTGTATTTTTTTTATATTTGTTCCCTCATAACTTTCGACTGAGTAAACGGATTTTGATTATTCTTTTTTTATTTGATAGCCGGTGCTTCCCTTGTGGTCCCATATTAATTTCATTGGTATTGGATCGGCTTCGAAGATACTTGGGGAACTCCTAAAAATCTATTATAAAATTAATACAGAGCGAGATATTTAAAGTCGGTTTTATCTTTCTTTAATAAAAAGGTAAAGCTTAAAATGTGATTTTTCTGCAATTCAATCGACAAACACTTTTGGCGCTGCGGGATTTGAACCTTAGTCTTCCGATTGTATTGAAGTTGTACTCATGGCGCGTTCGGAAAAAATTATGAGAATAAAATTTTTACTATGCCATTTGTACTCCGATACTCCGATAGGCAGAAAGAGATGTGATGAACTTGGTTACAATGCGACCAAAGCGACTTCACACTGTTACCATAACAACCAATAACAAATTTTTGACATTTACCTAAAATTCCAAGTCATTTGACGACCCGAATGGCGTTGTGGGTAATGTACCTGCCTCCTGCGCCAGAGGGTGTGGGTTCGATCCCCACTACTGGATAAAAATTGTGTGATGAACATAGTATTTTTCTAGTGTCTGGGTGTTTATATACGTATCATCATCATCATCATTTCAGCCTGTTTAAGTCCACTGTCGAACATAGGCCTCCCCCACAGACTGCCACGAAGTACGATCCTGAGCCACCTGCATATATACGTATAACATGTATTTATTTACAAAAGAAAAGTATGTTTAAGTATGTTTATCAGTTACCTAGTACCCATACTACAAGCTTTGCTTAGTTTGGGACTAGAAAATATTGTGTAAAAATGGGTCCTAAAATATTATTATTATTATTTAATTAAACCGTTATCAATAGATGAGACCCCTGCGTAGAATACATCTTTGTTTGTGTAAAAGACGTATAAATTTTTATGATGAAATGCCATGATTTTTTTGCCGTCTTTATTAGTAAATTGTACGGAATCCTTCGTGCGCGTGTCCAACTAGCGCTTGGCCGGTTTTTATGTGTGTTACCTCAGAACACGGTCATTTATGAACCGACTTTTCCGCATTGGGTTCTGTGTGGCTGCCATGTGGTCCTACATATTTCATTGGGAACTAATCAAAATCAAATAGAAAATGTGTGGTGTGTGATATATCTGAAGTTGTTTTCGTTTTATATTACGGAAAATGTTTTAATCATTTATGTTTAGTATTCGCTGTGGAGGGGAATATATGCGTATTATAATTTTGAAGTAAACATTCTTTTAACGCGACTCAGGGGAAACGCGTTATGTAGCATCCGATTTTTAGATATTTACGCTGTCTGTGTGTATGTACATATATCTGTCTGTATGTATATACAGTATGTGTCTGAACTATACATTTAAAATAAAAGAAATATTAACAATTTTTTATTACTGAAATTATTTTGAACATTTTTTTTTATTTTATTTCAACCGCGTGTAAAGTTTACACGGTCATTTTTAGGGTTCCGTACTCAAGGATAGAACGGGATCCTATTACTGGGATTCCGCCGTCTGTCTGTCCGTCTGTCACCGCGCTGTATCTCAGGAACATGTATTTAACGGTGGTAGGGCCACGCAGCCGCCTCGGCTATTGCACGAATGGGCAGGCCCGTCCGCGTAAGTACCACGACCTCACAGAAGACCAGCGTAAAGTATGACAAATACTTTCGCGTTTCGTCTGGTGAGTGAGGTAGCTGGAGCCCAATTTTCTAAAGGTTGTCAACGCTTCTGTAACCCTCGGGTGTGGCAGATGTCCATGGGTGGCGGTATTCACTTAACATCAGGTGAACCGTGTGCTCGTTTGACAGCTTTTCGCATAAAATAAATAAATAACCGTGATAATTTCACAGTTTCACAGATGACAGAGAAATTTTCGCAGATTATGTACTTCTGTTGCCGCTATAAGAACAAATATTAAAAAATAGAATAAAAATATATTTTATTGGAGCTCCCATACAACAGACATATTTTTTTTGCCTTTTTTATAGATAACGGTACGGAACCTTTCGGTGCGAGTCCAACTCGCACTTGGCCGATTTTTATGCTATGATGGAGCGGAAAAAATATAACATAGAGGAAGGCAACTTACTCCCACGAGTAGAACAGTCGCTACAACCATCTTCGCTGCTACCGAACAACTGAATAAATTTTCTTTACACTGGCCATCGTACAAAAAATACACGCATGACGAATCAATCCTTATCCGTTACATTTAGAATACAAACAAAACGTCTTTATTAGCAGCTAGCTGTTGCCGCGACTATGTCCGCGTGGAAAAGGGCGAAAGCGTTAATGAATTCGGACAGACAGATCTGTACAATAAAATATCACTTTACCACATATACCACATTCATGGTTTAACTGTGTTAGGACCACGCAACAGTGTTTGCTGTTGCATGAATGGGCAGGTCCATCCAGGTTAGTACCACGACCTCACAGAATACCGGCGTAAAATAGAAGAGTAAGCCTACTGCGTTTCGTCTGGTCAGTGAGGTAGCCGGGGTACTAAAATGTGGCAACACATCTGCAATCGGCGTTGCAAATGTCCGCGGGCGGCGATTATCACTTAACAGCAGGTGAACCGCCAGCACGTTTGCCACTTTCTCACATAAAAAGACAAGGTTTTTCCTTATGGGGCCAATATGTATAAATCCGTTTTGATAACCGCGAGCAGGCCTCGTACAGTTGATTATGGTGAGCTTCAATTGGAATGGGAATTTGTTGGTAATGAGTTAAATTTTTTTAAACATTGCCCTTATTTTGGGATAAGATTATCGAGTGTTGTAAAGACGCCTTACTATTCATGAGGCCCGCTAAATTTATTATAATTTTTATGGAATATCACCTACGCGGAGAAGCGAGAGGCGAAGGCGAGGCTATAAATTATTATTATAATGCAAATGGTCAGCGCTTGTCGCTTAAGTAGACTTTTATTATGTAAAAAATTGCCAAGCGAGCAGACGGTTCACCCGATGTTAAGTGAATACCGCTGCCCATAGACATCCGCTACACTCGACGTTTGCAGATACGTTGACAACCTTTTGAAAGAAATTAAATTGGGTACAGGCGACATCACTCACCAGACGAAACGCGGAAGTATTATACTTCCACCTTACACCGGTCTTCTTGTTAAATCGCCGTGCTTCGATTTTACGGATATTTAACAAAAATTTTTAAATTAAAAAATAATCATACACACACATAAAACCTTCCGAATATTTCGTCTTTGGTGAATTTTATGAATTTCTTCATCTTTTAATGAAATACCCTTGAAATTAGGTCACGAAGATCGAAAGACCGCTTACCAGAACACAGTAGTGCAGATCTTATTCATGGCTCCGATTTGGACGGAAGACTGTTGAGCATAATGCATGAAAGCTGCTCTGTTACTGTGAGCTAAAACTCGATTACGAACTGTAGTCGTTGACGTTTGTTGTCTTTCTCTCTAATCTCGTGGGAGTTGGGAACGCCAGAACTCGATTTCCTAGTGTGAATTTGTATATTTATATTATTATGCTCTTTAAGCCGCTGCAAACACTCTACTTGACTCTCTCCGACTTGTAAGACGATTTTCAGTTTCCGGTAAAGATTCCTCATTGCGACATATTTTTAATGTCCTCGCCTGAGAACTATTTCTAGAAAGATGAGATCCTAATCTTTTGGGCGTTTTAAAATGATAAAAAAATTAAACTTCCTTAGTATTAAATAATTTGCTAACTGTTGAACAGGAATTACCAGTATAATGCCCAGTTTCCGAAAGGCCAATCAAAGCAGCAATCACATAACGCTATGTCAAAAATGATCAGCTGTTAATCTCTTGTTAAACTGCCTTATTTCTGGAAGGATTGTTCAAGAAAAATTAGCTAATCACTGTATAACCAATGATAATGAATGAAATGAATGATTTACTTCAACTAACTCTTTCTATTGTCTATCTGTCCCTTTTTAAACAAAACTTAAATTAACGTCACTATCCAGTCCTGTCACCGTGTGATTGCCAACGTAAAAATCCGAGCTATAATAAAATTTAATTTATATAAATACATGCAAAATGTCAAAAAAAAACTTAACAGAACGTGAAAAAAATTAACTTTTATCGATAATAAACAAGTAAGTATTATAAAAAGAAAGAATCCATATTATTTATTAACTTTTGGATTGCATTTTGTATTTTTTCTAATCACATGATATGTTCGCATAATAATAAATAATAAATATGTAATAGAACGCATGAATGTCCTAACAACGTATTAGGAAATTATGTTTATTTTTAATAAAAACTAAGATTTTTGATAGATAACATTTTTAACCAACGATTGATCGTCCAAATTGACAGATTACTTAATAAAACTTTTGACAGCTCGTTGACCATCGAAAAACGCTTTCAGAAACTCGATTTTCTGTTGATTGTCCGTTAATCAGTGACTAATTGCAAATCAAAATCAATGTTATTTAAGACGTTCTAGCAACTCAGATCATGTTAAACCACGATTGACAAGAGATTTATCGTAAATTAAAATTGATTGCGCTTTCGGAAACTGGGTGTAAATGTGATTGAAAACTTATGACAACTACTAAGTCAGTCACTAAGCTGTTTGGATAGTTAAATTACAATATACTAACATTTTTAAACTTGTGATATCTTTCGAATGGAATGTCCGAATTTAATAATTCAAAAAGTTATAAAAAGATATTGACACAGTCTTAAATTTTTTTATAAGGATTAATACCAAGATACAAATGAAGAGCCTTTTCTAGCGGCGGATTTCAATCAAAATTTTAAAATAAAAGAACAGTTATTGTGGCATAACTATAATAGTTAGACATATGCTGACGCGACACTTTTTGTAAATAATGATGTGGTCTACAACACATTTTATACTGAAAGAAACTTAAAGTTCTAAAATTAACCGGCATATATATTCTCGAAATTAATAAATTCGTTAGAAAACACCCATCTTCATTACCTCTCGGACATAATTAACACATTTCGATACCGAAACCTTCGATATAGAAATAAATTCGGATTACCAAGCTCCTCATTAGTCCTCTTTCAATATCTCTTTCAAAAAATACCAAATGAAATTAAGGCAATAAAAAATTACAATCAGTTTAAGAACGAAATGAAAAAACTCTTACTAAAGAGTTATTATAGCATACACGAATATTTAAGCGACTAACAAACACTATAATACTTTAATATTCTATATTTATAAAGTTTTATGATTATGCAATTATGTTATACTAGCTACTGCCTGCGACTACGTCTGCGTAGAAAAGGCTGAAGCCGTAACATTCAGACAAAAGCACAGATATACATAAAATATATTTATGAATTATAGGCTATGTTCTCTCTGCTGCATAAGCTATATTATTGTAAAGTTTCATTAAAATCCGTACAGTAGTATTTGCGTGAAAGAGTAACAAACATCAATCCATACATACAAACTTTCGCGTTTATAATATTATACTAGCTGCTGCCCGCGACTACGTCTGCGTGGAATAGGCTGAAGGTGTAATATTAACACAGAAAGACAGATATATATAAAATATGTATATAAATTATAGCCTATGCCTTATTCTGATGTATAAGCTATATTATTGTAAAGTTTCATTGAAATCCATTCAGTAGTATTTGCGTGAAAGAGTAACAAACATCCATCCATACATACAAACTTTAAACAAACAAACAAAAAATAAACCATAACATTTTTATCCCCAGTGCCTGTTTTTGTTCGTGAAAAGGTGATTAAATGCAACTGATGACACTCTAATTACATAACTAGGAATTGGTAAACTGGAGACCCGCCCCGGCTTCGCACGGGTGCAAAGCTGAATGTTTGTTTTCGACATCGCATTAAAAACCTCTAAAATGATCAGCGTTTCTTTACTATGATATGCATGAATTGCATGCATATAAACCCTCCATTTGAATAACTCTATCTATTAAAGAAAACCGCATCATATGCGTAGTTATAAAGATCTAAGCCTATATAGGGACAGACAGCGGGGCGACTTTGTTTTTAACCAATTTCAAAAAAGAAAGAGGTTTCTCACTTTTTTGGTTACTCTCTTTTTTTGTTGGATAATAGATATCCCATGGGTGGTACCATTATTAGGAAACCAGGATTAGATGATGGCATCCCAGAGTCCAACCGACTTCAAACAGAAAACTAAAAAAAATTGTTAATACATATAACATTTGAGGATTGCCCTCGATTTCTCTGGGATTCCATCATCAAATCTGGGTTTCCATATCATGGTACAACCCTTAGGATATCTCCTTGCCAACAATAAAAGAATCATCAGAACTGGTTCATAAACGACGAAGTTATCCGCGAACACACTTAAAAAAAAATAAAAATATATAATACAGTTGAATTGAGAAACCTCCTTCTTCATTGAAGTCGGTTAAAAAGGGGCTACTTTAATATTACAAACAGACACGCGAATTTTATTTAGCTGTACGTATAGATAACGGCAAGCGAGTTGGCTGTCCAACTGATGTTAAGTGATAGCCGCCGCCCATGGACACTTGCAACACCCGTGGGGTTGCCTCACTCGCCTGGCGAAACGCAGAAGTACAATACATCCGCTTCACGCCGGCATACTGTTAGGTTGTGGTGGCCCAACAAACAGAGAAGGCCTGCCGCCCGGTGGACAAACCGCGGTGGTTACCCCCCGCACAGAGGAGGCCTTTGCCCAGCAGTGGGACGTATAAGGCAGTAGAGTAGTCTTACACGTCGTAGAACCAACACGATATATCATGCCGCTAATAAAACATGTCACTTACAATGGCTTGCTCCTTTTGAGTGTCCCATTGGAAGGCGATTATGAACAAAAGATGGCGCGCTTCGAATTTGCACAGATGGGAACTGATAGATTTATTGCCGTTTAACGGTTGTGTTTGCTACGGGCAAACACAGTGTTTGGAAGTTTTTCTTGTATAAAAACCCGCCCCACTCGGATGCCGCATAGTCAACTGACTTCGGTCTCTTAGTGGTCAAGAAGATCCACAGACCCAAAGATGAGTTGGACAAAGTCTTCATTGTTGGTGTGCGCGCTCTGGGTGAGTGTATTAATAATCTATATATATATATATATATATATATATATATATATTTCATTTTACGATGCATGTTCGCGATAAACTCCGAAACTACTGAACCAATTTTTATCAAATTTTGTAAGCATTTGTAATTTGGTCCAACTTGGGAGATAGTGTGGTTTTTATCTTAACAATTGATCTAAATATTTGTTATTACAAATTATTTGTTTATAAGATGGCAAAGAGCTATATGTGAGTCCCATACGATTGTAACAGATGGTGGTGTAAGATTAATTTATCGGCAGGATTGAGTAAGTATCCGATAGATAGTGCTATTCTAAAAGTAGAAACGTATGGATCCGGTAGAATTGGCGCAGTCGAAGTTGCGCGGGCCAGCTAGTAAATAATAAAAAATTCTGGAAATATTTTCACACAACGTTATCTAGTACCAAACTAGGCAAAGCTTTTACAATCGATAATAGGTAACTGATAAACGTACTTAAACATAGTTTTTTCTTTTGTAAACAAATTAACATTACAGATATAGGAAAACATTACGTTCATCACAAAATATTTTCCCATTAGTGGGAATCGAACCCACACCCTATCCACTACGCCATCAGGGTCGTTACAATCTCTTTGACTTTCTCCCTTTCTTAAAACTTTTATCAGCTGCTCTCAACTCGAGAATGAACGAGATCTGTTGTTATACAAACATTTTTTATTTTGTATAAACCAAATAAAAAAAACAATAAATGGTTATAAGTTTATTGCTTTAAAAATTATTTAAGATCTAAGACTTCATATTTAGAGTAGTGTAATAATTTTAATAATGATATTTTTCATTCCCTGAAAACAGGGATAAAAGGACATTTTTTAAGAAAGATTTTAAGCTAGATAGTTGATTGATTGAAAATTTGTTTGATATTTTGTATGTATTTTCACAAACAGTGTACGACTGTTCAATAATTTTCTAACGTAAACGGATCTTTTCTTACAGTCATATGTATAAATATGTTTTACATATATTTATTACTTTTAGCTACAGCAAAGTATTTTTGAGAGACAGATTTAGATCACTGTTTGAACATGAGTCCGACATTGCTTTTTACGTGGAACTTATTTTTTTTTTTCAAATATAGATAAATAAAACATAAAAAAATAATAAATCAGCCGTAGTATCCAACCGTTATCCCCGAAAATCCTAGGATTGAAATTTGAGCTTACTAGAGATAGTCATTATTGAGAAGCGACAAATAACAATTTCATACAAATATCCATCTCCAGCTATCTCCCCGTCCTCCGCAGTCCTCCATCTACCGATAGCATTTGGGTATAGGGTTTCCTATCGTCAATAGGTTTATCGGGACAAAAAATTTAAAGATAGATCTATCTCTAGTAGGGCAAAATCAGCGATAGAATTGAATATTGGTAACGGTTGTAAATATTGAAATCGGCCGATAGATAATAGACAAGTTAACAGGTGCCATTTACCAAGCTTCAGGTGACATTTACTTATAATTTTTTATAATTTTTGACACTGCAGACCAAAATGAGTATTTTGTATCACTTAAAATAGTTTCATAAATAAATCTGTGTCCGTACCCAAACGGTAAAATGGGACACTATTCAGACTTCGCTGTCTACCGGTCTTGTCTGGCTGACTGCAGATGATAAACGAGTTAGCTTAGTGAAATTGTAACTGTTACCTTTACCTTTTAAGTTACCCAAGCGACGTTCTTCCTTTGCAGTGTCATCGCTAATGGTTATACAGGTTATTTATACGTCTTTGGAGCAGTGATAGCTCAGTGACCGGGCGATCGCCTTTGATTCAATTTACTCGACCAACCCGAGTTCGATCCCCGGTGCCGGCACCGATGAAATTGTTAGTTTTAAGTGCTGATTTATCACGTGTTCACATCAACAAAACATCGTGAGGAAACCTGCATACTTTCGAATTACACAAAAAAATATTTCGAAAAATACGCGAAGTCCGCCAATCCGCAGTGGGGTCGCGTGGTGGACTACGCCCTGATACACTATTTTTTATTGACATACGCTTGCCTTTTCCAGATATCTAGCGCGACAGCATCACCGCGACGTAAGTGAAAACTGTTTTTTTTTTTTATAAACCCATACTATTCATCACTACATAGTACAAAACAAAGTCTTCCCGCTGTCTGTCTGTCCGTATGTATGCTTAGATCTTTAAAACTACGCAACGGATTTTGATGTGGTTTTAATTTATGGATAGAGTGATTCAAGAGGAAGGTTTATACGTATAATTCATCCATAATATAGTAGACAAACACTGATAGTTTTAGAGGTTACTAAAGCGATGCCGAAAACAAACATTCAGCATTGCACCCGTGCGAAGCGGGGGCGGGTCGCTAGTATCGTATAATCATGTCTTCACGTCTCGGAAAACATAGTGTCGGACGTCCCCCTGCCGGGTGGACCCATGAACTGAGAAAGGTCGCTGGTAGTGGCTGGATGAGGGAAATGGAAGATGTCAAGTCCTATGTCCAGCAGTGGACTGTTAAAAGGCTGATTGGATATCACCATAGTATCGTCTACTCGCTTGGCAACTTTTCACATAAAAAAATAACATTTCAGCCTGTTTGAGCTCACCTGATGTTGAGTGAATACCGCCGCCCATGGACATCTGCTACACCCGAGGGTAGCAGATTCGTTGACAACCTTTTGAAAATTGGGCTCCGGCCACCACACTCACTAGACGAGACGCGAAAGTATTATACTCCCACGCCAATCTTCTGTGAGGTCGTGGAATTTACCCGGACGAGCCTGCCCATTCGTGCAACAGCCGAGGTTGCTGCGTGGCCCTACCACCGTAAGTTTTCTTAAAATGGAAAATTTAAATTTTGAATAAGAATGCTGTAGTTGTATTCATAAAACTTAAAGGTAAATAGTATTCAATAAAAATGTTATATAAGTACTATTTTAACTGTCATTGACGCTAAATAACTATATTCTGTTACGTCCTCGATACTGACAGAGACGGCGAATGCCAACGCGAGGTCGCAAGTCCAGCAGCAGTTTTATCCCAGGCAGCAGTATGGTCCACAACAACCTAAGAACCCTGGCTACCCTGGCTACTCAGGCTACCCCCCCAAATCCTTCAACCCTTACTTCAACTACGGGTACCCCAACGCGCCGTGGTTCAACCCCAGCTACCAACAGCAACCTTACTTCAGCTACCCCAGACCACAACCACGTGAGCATGTCATATATTAATATTTCGTTTTTATTTATTTTTATACTCACACCAACAGAATAGACAACATCATAGACAAAAAAACACCACACACAATATAGGTATCCAATTATAGGTTCAAAAAACAAACAAAACTATGAACAGTATTACATATTAAAATGATCGATACGAAATAATCAATCATTACAGTTCGAATAATAAATAATAGTTTAAAAAAACTAAATAAAAAAACACGATTTTCAAGAAATTTTAATTATGAATATATGATTAACAAAAAAAAATATTGTAGAAAAGCCCTCGTCGTTTTTAAAATCAAAATCAAAATCATTTATTCATCGACATAAGAAACTTACATTTCATTTATCAATAATCATATTTTTTTTTAAATCTACCACCGTTTCGTAATGAGGTTCCTCTAGCGGAGAAGACAGGCGAAAGAAACTCCGTAGGTATCCTCTTTTTTGTAATTATTTTTTTTTTTCTTAACAAAAAATTCAAAAATTATACAACTGATTTTTTTTCCTTTTAGAAATAGCTTGGGAGCGATCAACTCATTCCCAGGGGTTATTGTCATTAATGTATTCATTTGTATTATAATAACCCTTTTTATAAAGTTTTTCTTTAATAAATTTCTTAAACCTGTTAATAGGCAGGTTTTGGATATATGGGGACCCCATTGAAGCTTTGCATCGAGAGTTATTCCAAGAAAGACAGTCGTATCCACAAGGCCTAAATCCCCCCCATTTATAAGTACATTGCTTTAGCTCTGTTAAATATAACAGCGTGTTTTTTATTATTTTTTTTTAAATGCTTACTTGGCACAAGGACACTACCGGATATCGGATTTGAAAAATAGCCAATCCTGAAGGTGGCAGAGTACACACTTCCTATAATATTATGCTGACGAATATTGGAACAGAATATTATAATATATACCTGAATCTTCGCGGCGACGCCAAAATATATGTCAATGACCATCTGACATTGGATAGCAAAATCTTGCTTAATAAAGCGAAGAGCTTAGCCAGGGCTTAGCAAACCCCTTTTGGGTTTGCTTTTGTGTGGGTAAAAGGTTGGAAAATATTTGCTACAAAAAATCCTACCACACATTCTGACTATAAAATCAGAATCGGATTTAAAAAATCTTTCGTAAATGTTATATTCATGCTGATCATATTAATTATGCCCTCACCTCACGCAAATATTTCGCTTACCCAGAGGTGTCATCAAAGTTTGACAAACATCTGCTTGATAGTTATTCTGTTTGATGACCTTATCGCTATGCGCATCATTGCGTACTTATTATTTCGGGTAGGTCGGCCGGCCATTTGCGTTAATTGCCTACTGCTAATACTTATTGCGTTCGATATTAAGTTTACCGCCACCCTTCTTTTATCATTTTTTTTAACAGTTCTATTAGTCTTATTGAATAAACTAAACTTTTTTATAAATTTTGCAAATATTATCAATAATTGTCACTGTACACTCTATGTCCGTTATACTTCTATGTACGCTTTATATCCTTTTGTATTTAACTAATTGTGGAAACTTATAATTGGCCTTCATCATCATCAGCATTTCAGCCTGTTTGAGTCCACTGCTGAATAGACCTAGTCTTCAATCAATGTGTGTTGCCAGTGATGACCTACGGAACCGAGACGTGGTCCTTCACTGCTGGCCGTATGAGGAAGCTCAAAGTCGCTCAGCGAGCTATGGAGCGGGCTATGCTCGTTATTTCTCTGCGTGATAGAGTTCGTAACGAAGACATCCGCAGTAGCACCAAGATAACCGATATAGCTCAGAGGATTAGCAAGCTGAAGTGGCGATGGGCCGGCCATATAGCTCGTCGAACCGATAACCGTTGGGGAAGAAAGGTTCTCGAGTGGCAGCCTCGTACTGGCCATCGCAGTGTAGGACGACCCCCCACTAAATGGAGTGACGACCTGTGCAAATGTGCCGGAAGTCGATGGATGCAGGTGGTTCAGGATCGTACTTCGCGGCAGTCTGTGGGGGAGGCCTATGTTCAGCAGTGAACGCAAACAGGCTAATTGGCCTTCTGCACTTATAATCCAATACTTTAATTTTGTGCTAGCTGTTAGTTTCTCTAAAAATGTAAAATAAAATAGAATATTTTTCTGGACCACCCCAAGGTTGACTGGAAGATAATGCTGATGGCATTAAGTCCGCCTTTGTACATTCATGTGTGTGCATAAAGAATAAATAAATAATTTGTCAATATCGCTAGGGTGTAAATTTAATGTATTGATTGATTGTCGACTGTCTTCAGAGCGCGGACAATGGAAAGGCAGTGGAAGCTACCCGCCTACTGCACTCCCTCCTTTGATACCGATACCATTTATTCCCCCTGTGGTCGAGTACCCCCTTTTCCCAGTGCCGCTCAACCAGTTTGCGCAGAACCCAATTGCGGCACCGAACAAACCATCGGCTGGACAAGGTAAGACAAAGATGGAAATATTTCAATAAAAGCCTAAAATAGACCAAAATATGTCAGTAAGAGGCTATTTTATCTCTCTGTTCAGTCTCGCTGAGACCTTACGTGCGATATAAGTTCAAGGTACTGTTTTTTTTTTTTTAAATTAAAATTAATTAACACTTTAGTTCGGATAATATCAGAGTACAGCTCTGTATGGAATTAAATAACAAAACATTTAAGATGTTCAAATCTAAGATTGCTGTTCAAATATTAGTGGTTTGCCAAGTGACTGTTTTATATTCCGTATTCGTTTAAACTATTTTGAACAATAATAATATTACCACCGAATGCGCATGTACTATGGTGACAAATTACAGCCTTAAGTACTTTACAGGTAAATTCCTCCAAACATCATACATGAGGTCATATGATAAAACAGAATCGGAACCAGCATCAAGTAGCAACTCTTCAACTATTATAATTCTGGAGCATCAGGATATCAAAATAAAACCTTACATAAACCTTACATAAAAGCTTATACAATAACTTATGAAACAGTCAAATGATGTAAGAGTTAACTTAGCTCCCGATTGGTGCACTTATATTACCACCAGTTTCGTTTTACAGGCCTATTCGACCAAACATCATATACAACATCGTATGCGAAATCAGAATCCGAATCGGAATCAGCTTCCAGTAGCAGTATTTCGACATCTTACAATTCTGGCGTATCAGGTAATGTTAATAAAAGACTAAATTCAAAAGCTTACCTTTACTAGGTACCAATCAATGAGCCGGCAACGATGGGCCTAGTATTAACGGTAGAAAGTAAAAACGTGATTGACATGAAGCAAACTTCGCCGTTGCACGAGGAGATAGGCTCGTCTCGGAAAACAGCATGACCCCCAAATGATCAGCGTGTACTGGAAATGAATAAAAATAATGCTTCTTGCAATATAGATCAACGATTTCCAGTCTTTTGAAGGCTTAAAAAATACATCAGAAAATCAACTAGCGTATAATCAATCTCGGGTGTACTATTATGGAAAAATATATCGCGTGGAATAGTATAGAAAAATATATTGAGCCACGATTTACTGTTAACATATACTTTGTTCGAATAATAGACTCATCCTTAAACCATCTACTAACTCCGATGGGACAAAAGGTTCGTCAGATTCCTAGGTTGGAAGTAACTCTTCTTAAAACTCATCAAATACTGGAGGTAATGTTAACAAAAGACGAACTGAGATGCCCACCCTTTAAAATTAGTAATTAACAAGTTAAATGATCGAAGCATTAACTGAGCATACAATAGGTGGCACATATATTTACGAAATACAAAACTTTCCCACAAACGACGTAGCTTCAGTGCACGCCCTATAGACTTAGTAATTGACAAGTTAAATGATCCAAGCATTAATTTAGCATGTGGTAGTTGGCGTTTATATTTTACAAATGCATTACTTTCCGACCAGGCAACAGCGGCAACCAGGGCACTGGTACATCAGGCAACTCTCCACAACAAGGAACGCCTTCGAACCAAAGCCCTACTGCTCCAACAGGCCCCGGTAGTCAACCAAGCAACGGTGTGTATTTATACCTCAGTTTTTATAGACCAAATATTCTAGGGTGACAGTATAAATGTATTTGTCCTGTAAAATCCTTCGCTGTTGCTTGAATAGGTAGCCTCATCAGGGCAAGCATCATGACCTCGCTGATGATCAGCGTGTAGTAGAAACATTATACTTCTTGGTTTTACCTTTTGTTAGAGGTCGAAGAATTTCAGCCTTGCTAATGGCTCGTATGACTCGTATGACCTGAAAATTAAAATATATTAAGCCACTGTCTAATCTTTTACCGACCACTCTATCAGCAGAATATCGCTTGAGGGCAATGCTGTGGTAACAGAAGTTTAAAAACTGTCTTTATAATAACGTACATTTCACGTGTACTTTGTTCAACTAATTGACTCATCCTAAAACCGTTTATTAACTCAGGTGGGCCAACCAGTTCGTCAGGTGCCTCAGCTCAAGGTTACGCTTCCTCATCCGGACCTTCCACTGGAGGTAATGACAACAAACGACGTAGCTTCAGTGCACGCCCTATAGAATTAGTAATTGACAAGTTAAATGATCCAAGCATTAAGTTGTGAAATTAAGCGGCAAATCCACTAGCGAACAATTCGTCCTTGGGCGGCGGCAATACTCAAAATCAGATAAAAGCTAACAAACCAAGATACCTTGTATTCATCAATCCATTTCACATGGACTCGTATGACCTGGAAAATAAAATATATTAAGCCACTGTCTAATCTTTTACCGACCACTCTATCAGCAGAATATCGCTTCAGGACAATGCTGTGGTAACAGAAGTTTAAAAACTGTCTTTATAATAACGTACATTTCACGTGTACTTTGTTCAACTAATTGACTCATCCTAAAACCGTTTATTGACTCAGGTGGGCCAACCAGTTCGTCAGGTGCCTCAGCTCAAGGTTACGCTTCCTCATCCGGACCTTCCACTGGAGGTA